CACACCACCCCCCCGGCACCTGGGTGAAAAAAGTTTGCAGCTATTCCATACAGCACAGGCTGGCCAGTGGGTGGTCCTTTAGTTTAAAAATAAGCAGTAAAGGGAGCCAAAAAGCACTGCAGAAGTGAAAACCGGTGGCAATCGATGGCAGGGGTGAGCTCTGATGGAAGAATTTACAGTTTAGGTTTCCCCCCCTCCCCGCCCCCCCCAGCCTTTGAACTAATTTGAACTAATACGCTGAGACTGCACCAGATTCTTCCTCTTCTGCCCCAGCAAAACCCTTCCCGGTGCAGCCCAGAACGTGGAGGGCAAAGGCCGTGGTCTGTCTCGGGATGGTATCAGCAAAAGACTGGGATGCTGAGATTTTCTCACCATTTCTCACTTCCCCGTGATTCACTGTCAGAAATACTTTGTATTTCTAACATACACACACGTAGGCACTTGGGATGGGTGATGCCCTGTGAACTAAAGCGTGCAATGGGGTGATTTCCTTTCCAACGATAAACCCTTCTGCCCTCTCAATAGCACTAAGTACTTTAAGCCACTTCTGTATGTGATAATAAAACGAAGAGTGTGCCTTTCACGCAGGGAGGTTGATTAAAGTGAGGGGGCAGAAATACCACTGGGTGGACAACACAGATCAAGGCAGAACATTTTTTTAGCTGGTAAGGTAAAATCTAGCCTTGCTTCCAGATCTTGCATCTTTCTTGTTTCAGAATCTCTGGAAGGAATAAATGTCTGTGCAAGTTACTGGGGTCTTCCTATTTAGTGGAATCAGGATTTTGGTCCAGTTAAACCTGTTTGTAACTTGTTTCTGGCAAGTAACTTTCCACTGCTTTTTTTCTAAATGTGTTACTAAACTCAGCTGATTAGTTATCACTGTATTTGTGGACTGTGTCAGGCTTTGACTTAGAAATGTGTACTCAATTGATGTAGATCACCCTGTGACTGTCGGTGGAATCTGAAATGAACTGTGGAGGAATGCTGGTGATGACTCCCACCTTGAATACTCTGTTGCTCTCCTACCTTTGTAGCCATTCATCGAGTGTCTACAGAATCTAGTATCCTTAGAAAATAATTTTTTGAGACCAAAGATGGCACACTTTTGTCCTTCAGATTTTGCATTCTCCTATATTTGCTTAAAAAGCAACATGTGCAGTGGGTAGTGGGGTTCAGCAGTGAAATGTCTATACAGGGGTCTGTACAGAAGGATTGGGAATTAACTAGAGGCTAAAAGGATAAAGGGAACAGAGACTTGAGTCTGATAAATTAACAGGTACTTTTACTTGTTGAATAAGTCTAGTCTTAAGGCTGTATCAAATCATGCTTTTGAAGAGGAGGACATAAGGAAGCTATATTTTGCTGCACTGAACTAATGCACAGGTTGACCATGGTTTTTTGCATATTATTGATTTGCAGTATCTTTTAAAATAGATGCAAAAAAAATCTGCAATCTCAAATACATACTCGCTTCAGATATTTCTCTTGGGTTAGTAAGTGCAGCAGTGTCTTTGTTATTGGGTTTGGTTTTTTTGTTGTTTGTGGGTTTGGCTCTTTTTTTAACTTCCTAGCCAGCAAAGATAACAAATTGTGTTGTTTTCAGCTTCATTATCTCTTTGTTTTAGGCGCTCAGACTCTTGCATCTTTTCTTTACATGCTGTCCCTGGGATAACAGTTTTTTTCGTTCACAAAATCAAGGGTATTGCAGCTTCCACCACTGTGGGTGTACTTCTCTAAAATGAGTTTTTTCCTCCAGCTGTTCAGGCGGTGTGACTTGACTTGTTTCTTGCTGGAGGGGAAGAGAGTGTCGGATAGACTGACTTGGCTTCAAATCTGTGCTGCTGGCTTTCTTAGGAGTGGTCTGGCCACATAGATGTTTAAAATGGGGGTAATAACGCTACTGTATCTCACAGAGTTACTGTGCTGTTTGGTCCATTCTCTGGCTAATTACAGAGACCACCTAAATGTTCACAGAGACTTTTGCCAAACTATCTTTCTCTCCATGGGTTTTCACAAGTTGCACGTTATCTGAGGTTCTTCTTTAAATCAACTTGAATGAAGAGGTAAACGTTGATATTTCTTTGTATTTTCTTGCAGATCTTGCAAGTACTCGCATGACATCATCAATGCTGAGAACAAAAAAGTTCTGAAGTCCCATGAGTTGTCTTGCCTCGATGAGAATGACCTGCGAGTCCTGCTTCTTCAAAATGACCCTTTCTTCTTTCCTGATGTGAGTTGTGCTGATTTCTTAAGAGAAGCTTTTATTAATTAAGAATGGGAGAGGACAAGGAGAATGTGAAGTTTTGATCTCAGTTTCAAGCTGAAGCTGTTAAGATACATAACAATAATATTAAGTTTAGTGTGGACGAAGTACGAATGGGAATGGCTCTGTGTGAAAGCACCAGAAAAAACAATATAGAGCCAGGATTGTGAAAGTGCCGTGTACTTATTGTTACCACAAACTGGCAGATAAAACTTTCTAAGACTCAATTTAAAGTTTTAGAAAGCAAGCATTCTTTATTGCAGCACTGGGTGCACAGGGGATCGCTCCTCCTGTTGTGCACACCAAACACTGTCATTAAGCCAAATTTATACATGACAGGTATATGTATTCAATATAATACCAAGAAAACACTAGCATATTCTTTACATTTCCAAGAATTCATCTACATTTTATAATGAGCCTTTAGACATGTGTAGTTGTGCTTCTAGTGGTCCTCATCCTGAACGAGGGTCGTTTCTTCCTCAATCTTCATCTTCTTCATCTGTCCTTTGGCTTACTTTCCATGTTTGCAAAACATTCTAACTCCTTAATTAGCTATTAAAACTAATGATCTTCCTGCTACCATCTGTTTGTCAGACAATGTCCGTATTTATTGCATTCTTGTCTTAGGCCAGTATGTTCTCAAGGCAACATACATCCTTTCTTATCTTACCAAGTCCTTGAAACGATTTAGGATGGTTACTAAAATAGCTACATTTCTTCTTTAAAAGAACATTCCTACAGTTTAACCATTTATGGAATATGTGAAGTCTGCCTTGGGTATCGTACAACTGAAAAAAAGTAACAGCAGTAAAAAAGTTAAACACTGAGGAGTGTTTTGCTTACACAAATACCAAAAGGCTGGCACCTGGATAAGGCCATGTCATCTGTGACTTCTCAGCAGCAGAGGTGGGGTCTGACAGCAGGAAGCGGACAGCAAGGCTATATAGCCTGATTTGCATGCCATTCCTGTTATCCCAACAGATAGCCATAAAGTTACTCAAAGCAAGCAAACAAACAAAAAAAAAAAGTCAGCGACTTCACCAGAGATTTACAGATGGTGAGGTAAGCAAGGCAGAGGTGAAAGATCACAATAATTGCACGTGTTTTATGGGATAAAAGTTCTGACCAAAAACCAGTTTGTTGGGCTCTTCTCCAAAGGATGATGGAGAAGCATATTTGGGTGCTTGGGGGAATAGGGAGGCGAGAAAATAACCAAACAACTGCAGTCAGTTTTGTGTAAAATCTGCCCCTTCCAAAGTGCACTGAGTTCTTGGGCACTAATTTTCACGATGCAACCTTTGTCCAGTTTGTATGCAAGTCATCGATTTTGTTCAATTTAGCTGAACAATCCCTTCTGGTTCTGAATGTGTGCATAAGGGCAATGCTGTCCTCAAGGTATGGCTGTTTCAAAGCCAGGAGTATCCTATTCTGGCTACAGCTGTTCCTGGTTAAGGAATTACCAGAGTACTGCCTGTTACCCATGTCTTTTGGAGGTTATGATCTCCACAGATCTGTTGGCATAATAGTTTTATTGTTTTCTTATTCCCTGCGGTGACAGTGCTGGGCTTTGACAAAATAGATTCTTTTTTGTTGTTGGTAGTGTCTGAAAATACATTGTGGTGGCAGATTCAAGGGGCATGGTGGTGATGAGCAGGGAGGATTGATGATATCTTTGTCCTGCTCAGCTGCAACTAAAATTTAAGTCTTTCTTGTTTAACTACTCCTAGCAATGAGCAGATAGTGCAACCATCACTGATTGGTGTTACTCTTAAGCTCTAATCTATAGATCTATTCAGCCATCACCACTGGCAGGCATCATTAATTACCTCTGATTGAGCACCTTAACTCATATTATGGCTAAAATAGCAGAAACAACAGAAAACAGTGGTTGGTGCAGGCCATTCATAAACCTGAGAGCTGGGGAGGGTGATGGGAAAGCCAGCTTGGCTGTTTCCTGCTTAAAATGCTGACTGGCTTTGTGCGTGCTGGCAAATGGCTTATATAAAGCAAGAGGAAACTTTGGTTTTCTGTGACCTGAACTGGGGTGCAGGGTAAGAAAAACACAACAGCATCGCAAAATCAGGAAGTTTTACACTGTCTCTCACCTATTCTCTGGCTTGCCCTTTTTAAAATTTTTTTTTCCCCCTGTTTCTTGGCAAAGGCAAAGGGCAGCATGCTTTCTTGATGTAGTTAAGTAATGGATTCCCTGTTTAGCTGACACAGCGCCTTCTTCTGGTTTGGTATTTTATTCTGATGCTCCCATGTGAAAATTTTCCGTTGTATACTAACGTCATCTTTTAATCCATCTTCCTCCAGATGCTCTACAAAATCACTCTCAACCAGATTCAGTGTCTTTAAATCTCTGGGAGTTCCACTTTGTAGCTTAAGTAGTTGGTGTCTCCACTACTCTAAAGTAATATTTTGTGTAGTCTATGTTCCACACATAATGTTTATGTTTTTAGTACTCTCTCAGCTTTTATCTGATGCTGTATCTTAGTTGCTTTTTCTTTCCTATCCTTGAGCAGGAAGATGCAAACACGAAAGCAATTCTTATGCTCTGGCACCAAAACCAGTGTCTGACTTAAGTCTTACGCATTTTTTGATGGTACTTAAATTAGCTTCAGGCTGTGTGACAAACTGTGCTCTCTGCTTCTGGTTTTAATTAGCAGTATTTCTGGAGGAGAAAGTTTTAGAAAAGAGAGGATATTGAAGGCAAGGGGGAAAGATTGTCTTGGGGAAAGACCTGTTAAGGAAGCGGTGATTTTTAAGTTTGTTCTAGAAACATCCAGGGAACTGTATTACTCCTTTGAACCAAGGGGGTGCTGTATAAATTAATATCACAGCTCTCAGTTTGTGCTTGACTTTCTGTCGCTGGTGGATGTTGGCCTAACTGCTTGTTTCCAACTCAGTAACTTGAACAGTTATCTCTACTTGGACGGGTGGAAAAAATTTGCATCTTTAAAGCCTTACCCCATTCTTTTTGTGATTTAGGAACTTGTAGGAGGCGTATATATTTTAGATGAGGGTGACACTTTGGGTGGTATCAGGCCCCTAAAATAGAGAAACGTTAAGCAACTGAAGAAAACCATTCCTTGGAAGTGGTGTAAGATTTGAGTTCTTTAATGACTGAAGTTGCAAAGCACCTCCCACAAGATTGTTTGTTATTACCTAACATTTTCATATGTTCTTGATACATAGATTTTAGAGTGCTCTGTAGGTGATAAGCCTTTCTGCATTCTCCTTGGGCAAAGCTGGGAAAACGGAGGAGAGAAAAATTAGATGACTTACCCAAAATTCTGGAGTAGGTGAATAATTGCTTGACATTGGCAGGTGCTGGTGCTTTTGGATCTCGCTAAAAAAGGCACCAGATAAATAGCTGGTTACTACTGTAGGTTATAATGAGAAGAAATCTTACGTGTCCCTTCTGGTGTTGTGGGAACCCACAAGAAGACAGCATCAAACCTCTCTGGTAGGACCATGGCCTGCTGGGCAGAATTCCCATCAAGGGTGCTGAACCTCACCATGGCTGTTCTTCACGTCTTTACAGTATTTTTCTGAAAAAAACCCTAAAGCTATTGGTCTTTTGTCCATTAAAATCTGAATGTTCGTGGTGGTACACCAAAGTTCACTGAGAGCATTATGCTCTTACGCATCTCTATAGGAACAAGCTCTTACAAACAGTACCTACAGGTTGTATTGTTAAAGGCAGTCCATGCTGATGGTATGGTATGTGCTCTCATTATGTGGCTGTCACTGATGATAATGTATGGGCCTCTGCAACCAAGGCCTGTGGGTAAATCACCTAGATTTGCCAGAAGTCACTATCTCCTCATTGTAATGTCTTCCATGGTGGCCTGCTATGTTAGCTGAAAATAGGTCCAAAATTCATTCAGAGGGTGATGGAGCTACTGGAAGAGGGGTTTGGCGACGTGCCACTAAGATGACGAAGGGACTGGGGCACCTCTCACGTGAGTACGGGCTGAGAGCTGGGTCTGTTTAGCTTGCAGAAGTGAAGGCTCAGGGGAATCTTATCCGTATTTACAGACACCTGAAGGGGAGGGTGTAGAAAGGAGAGCGCCAGGCTCTTTTCAGTGGTGCCCAGGACCAGAGGTGATGGGCATAAACTGAAACAGAGGGGGTTCCCTCTGAACATCAGGAAATGCTTTTTTACTGTGAGGGTGACTGAGCGCTTCCCAGAGGGGTTGTGGGGCTCCCCTCCTTGGAGATACTCAAAAGGGGTCTGGACTCAGTCCTAGGGAAGCAGCTGTGGGTGGCCCTGCAGGGGAATCTCTGCTCAAGCACCTGGAGTACCTCCTTGCCTTCCTCCTCCTCATTTTGGTGTCTGCAGGGCTGTTTCTCACACTTTCCCTGTCACCTCCCTCACTACTGTGCAGTGTTTTGCCCCTTCCTAAATAGATTTTCCCAGAGGTGCCAGCAGCTTGGCTGATGGGCTCAGTTGCATCCCACAGTGGGTCTGTTGGAGCCACCTGTGTCTGGCATGGGGCAGCCCCTGGCTTATCACAGAATCACCGTGGTTGGAAGGGACCTCTGAGATCATCGAGTTCAACCTTAAAAAGAAACCCAAACACCAAAAATCCCACAAAACACAACACCCCACAACATCACACCCACCCACAAACCAATAATCTTGGGCACTAGAGCATGCCCTTAAGAGCCATGTCTACATGTTTCTTAAATACCTCCAGGGATGGTGACTCCACCACCTCCGTGGGCAGGCCCTTCCAGGGCCTGACCACCCTCTCAGGAAAGTCATTCTTCCTAATATCTAATCTAAACCTCCCCTGCCACAACTTTAGTCCATTTCCTCTGGTCCTGTCATTATTCCCTTGGGAGAAGAAGCCAACCCTCCACCTCTCTACACCTTCCTTTCAGGGAGCTGTAGAGGGCAATGAGGTCTCCCCTCAGCCTCCTCTTCTCCAAACTAAACATGCCCAGTTCCCTCAGCCTCTCCTCGTGTGACTTGTTCTCTAGAGCCCTCACCAGCTTGGTGGCTCTCCTCTGGACACGCTCCAGCAGCTCAATGTCCTTCCTGGAGTGAGGGGCCCAGAACTGAACACAGTACTCAAGGTGAGGCCTCACCAGTGCCCAGTCCAGAGGCACCATCACTGCCCTGCTCCTGCTGGCCACGCTATTCCTGATACGGGCCAGGATGCCGTTGGCCTTCTTGGCCACCTGGGCACACTGCTGGCTCATGTTCAGCCAGCTGGCCACCAACTCCCCCAGGTCCTTTTCTGCCGGGCAGCTTTCCAGCCACTCTGCCCCCAGCCTGTAGTGTTGCCTGGGGTTGTTGTGACCAAAATGCAGGACCTGGCACTTGGCCTTATTAAACCTCATCCCATTGGCCTTGGCCCATTGATCCACCCTGTCCAGATCCCTCTGTAGAGCCCTCCGACCCTCAAGCAGATCAACACTCCCACCTAGCTTGGTGTCATCTGCAGACTTACTGAGGGTGCGCTCAATCCCCTTATCTAGATCATCAATGAAGATATTAAACAAGACTGGCCCCAAAACTGAGCCCTGAGGGACACCACTGGTGACCGGTCGCCAACTGGATTTTGCCCCATTAATCACAACTCGCTGGGCACGGCCATCCAGCCAGTTTTTTATCCAGTGAAGGGTCCACTTGTCTATGCCATGATTTGCCAGTTTCTCCAGGAGAACACCGTGGTGGACGGTGTCAAAGGCCTTACCAAAGTCGGTAGACAACGTCTACAGCCTTCCCCTCATCGCGAAAGCAGGTCACATGGTCATAGAAAGAGATCAAGTTGGTTAAGCAGGACCTCCCTTTCATAAACCCATGCTGGCTGGCCCTGATCCCTTGCCTGCCCTGCACTTGCTGTGAGAGGTCTCCCAAGATGATCCTCTCCATGATCTTTCCCGGACCTTCTTCTCACAGAGGTCACCTCTGCTGCCAGCACCTTGCCATGGGCACCCAACAGATTGTAACACTACTGAAATCGTTTGGTGATGCAGCTGAGCTTCAATTTATAAATTATAGACATAATTGCAAGGGGGTAAATGGGAAATTGTGATACAGTTGCACAAAGAGGGTGCAGGAAAACATGTAGAAGTAAAATCTGCAAGATACCTGGTAAAACTAAAATCTTGCACAGCAGGCAGGAGAGGTATGTGATGGAATCAGAATAATCCAGTAGAACAAGTAAAACCAGAACAAGTCCAGATCCCAAAAATGTCAAAAGCAAATGAGAGCATTCTTTGGCATGTTAGGGGTAGAAAAGCATAAAGCATCCACAATGACAAGAGGGAAGATGGGGAAGAAAGAAGACAACCCCCTTTGGTTTCTGCTTCCCTCAGAGACTAAGAACTGTCAAGGACAGTAACCATCAGGGCTCACTGAAATTACATCACTTGTGTGGCTTTGTATGCTCCCACCTAATTTAGAGCAACTTTGTGAAGGCTAATTGTTCTGTACATGATACTGACTGATGGCGATGAGGAACTCACTTCTGGCAGTGGGTAGTATTGTTAATGAGTATGAATCCAATGAAGAGTTGTTATGCAGTTGAAACTGGCCTGGTTTTACAGGCTTTTGTACACTGCCATCCCAGCAATCTCCAGTTCCCTAGCTGATTCATAAATCCCTATCTGCTCAGTTGCAGCACAGCGTAGAAACCGTCTCTGTTGCTTGGAGCAGGGGTTGGGAGGAGATCTGTGACAGTTCTGGTGTGATGCTGGGGCTGCCTCTGGACAGCAATATGAAGGAGTGTTTTGGTGTGTGATTTGTTCCCTGGGTCCAATTCACTGCATATCTCTTTTTTTTTTTTTTTTTTTTTTGGTGAGCAGGGGAATATAGAAGTGTGTTGCCTTTTCCACACGTAACTCTAATCTTGAAGCATTCTTCTTACTATTTTTAGATGTCCCAATCATCAATGCAGAATAAGCTTTACAAGTAGGAAGTGCAAATGCAGTTTCAGCTCCATGAGATAATGCCTCATGTGACACAGGATGTTTTTATGGAGACATCTGTTCTTTGTTAGGGTTTCGATTTTGGGTTGGTTTGGTTTTGGATTTTTTTTGTTTTGGTTTGGGTTTTTTGTTGTGTTTTTTCTTTTAAATAGAGTAACTGTGAAATAGTCATTTGTTATGCAACTGTCTTGTTTAGGCATCCCAAAAATGAATTCTTGTTATACTGACTATTCTTTTTCTTTGACAAAAACCTCTGCAAAACTTCAAAACTCAAAAGGCATGAGTCAGCTGAAAATGCCTGCTTTTCCATTCAAGAAATCTGTCAGAATTAAAGAAATCACAATGAACACATGCATTTTAGTCACCGTTTTTCCACTCTTAAAGCTGCATGCCTATAGAACACAGAAAAAAAATACTGATTTCTAATGTGCTTTTCCGTTTCATAATGTATCTATCCTCCCTGTTTCTAGGTCTGCCAATTTTACAACAGAAAGGATGATGCCTGCATCCAGCAAAACAACTGCAACAAGCTTCATATTTGTCGACACTTTCTGCATGGGGAATGTAGATTTTTGCCATGCAAGAGGTCCCATAACCTCCTGGATGCCCATGCACTGGCAGTGTTGCAAAATGGAGGCATTGATGGGCGCATAGCTTCAAACATCCAGACTATATATGATCACAGGCATGCAGACTTCGTCAAGGAACTGAAGAAGGACAAAAGTAAGTACAGTGTAAGAAGAGTAAGAAACCCTGGGTTTGGCAGAGGTGGAAGCCATTCTTGCCTTAAATCGCAGGTAAACCCCATTGTCCTCTTTGTGCTTTCAGTGCACTACCAGAAACCAAGAGAAAAATTAGTGAAAAAACCGGCAGATAGAAGGAGTCAAGAACCGAGGGTACCTTTGGAAAAAGCAGGCTCCACACTGCATCTGCATATACCACCTTCAGATGGCAAATATCTAGGTAAGTGCCAACTGCTTCCATGTGGAATCACTTTTCTTATTTCCCCTCTTGGATGCGTACATAGTTTCTTTTCCTTCTGCCATTGATCTGCTTTCAGGAATGGAGTAAGTCACGGCTGAGCTGTGTGGGAGAGACAGCTGCATTACTGTTGCCTAAAATACCACATGCAAAATTGCTATCGAGTGGCTGTGGGTAACTGTGACTAACGGGGATTTGTAACTGCTGTCGCTGATCTGTTCTATCAGCAGTGCCGGTCAAAAATTATATGTGTGATGGACATCATCCTCAGCATACAAACTGGGATGTTGCCATCTAGCTGAGGTTCTGGTCCAGCAGTGCTGTTCATTCAGTCTTCTCATGCAGGTCTCAGTAGCAGCGTACCTGATCTGAGGCAGGACCAGTTGCCAACAGGAGCTGGAGGTAAAGACAAAGGTATGGATTGTTTCTAACCCTCCAGTCTTGAGATCAGGGGTTCTCATTGGGATTTGGTTTCACACAGCCTTACAGCTCCCTATGGCAGTCAGAGTGCAGCTTATGTGCTTAACGCTGCTGTATACTGAAAGCCATGGTACCAGACGGCCTGCAAAGGAGTGAGATTTCTGCCCAAGCATTGTCCAGGTCAATGGGAAGTAGACTGGGATTGATCTCTGTACTGTTCTGGACATGTTGCTTCCTTTCTGGGAAGGAGACAGAGTAGTATCTGTGCATGTGGTATCTTTCCTTGCCTTCTGTCCCCAAGACAACCGCTCTGCTGACAAAGCTACGTCCATTTCTGGATGTAGCTTTGTCAGTAGAGCGGTTGTCTTGATGTAACTTCCAGTGAGCGAATAGGAACTCATAAATTGCAAAGGAGTGAGATTTCTGCCCAAGCATTGTGCAGGTCAATGGGAAGTAGACTGGGATTGATCTCTGTACTGTTCTGGACATGTTGCTTCCTTTCTGGGAAGGAGACAGAGTAGTATCTGTGCATGTGGTATCTTTCCTTGCCTTCTGTCCCCAAGACAACTGCTCTACTGACAAAGCTACGTCCATTCCTGGATGTAGCTTTGTCAGTAGAGTGTTTGTCTTGATGTAACTTCTAGTGAGTGAATAGGAACTCATAAATCTCCTGTCCTCCTGGGCAGAAGGGCCTTGGCTTTAAAGCCTGTCAGAGTCATAGAATCATAGAGTTGTCCAGGCCGGAAGGGACCTCCCTCCACCAGCACCCCCAAGTCCCTTTCCTCAGGGCTGCTTTCTAATACCTCACCCCCCCAGTCTGTGCTGATGGTGAGGATTGTTCCGGCCCAGGTGCAGAACCCTGCACTTGCTCTTGTTGAACCTCATGAGGTTCAGCTGGGCCCACCTCTCCAGCCTGTCCAGGTCCTTCTGGATGACATCCCATCCCTCTGGTGTATCGACAACACCACACAGCTTGGTGTCGTCTTCAAACTTGCATTAATGCAAACATCCATTACTCTCTGAACTTTTAGATGCTTTTAGGTATTCCACACGTGGAGGGTGTCATGTTTAATATTGAATTTACTTATTTGAAGATAGTTGGTGTTACGTGGGTATTGTAGTTTAACCCCAGCGGGTTACCCCAGCACCACACACAGCCACTTGCTGATTTCCCCACAGCCCCAGTGAGGCAGGGGAGGAAGAAAGAAAGAATAAAAACAAGAAAACTTGAGGGTCAAGGTGGGAGCGGGGGTGTGTGTATGAAGGGTAAGTGGAAAAAGAAAGAAGAAAACAAAAGCAAGTGACGCAAAGACAATCACTCACCACCTCCCACAGATAGGTTGATGCTAGTTCCCAAGCAAAAAGTAGTTAACTCTTTTAAAACTCCCTCTTTTCGCTTCAGTTGCTGAACATAATGTTACATCGTATGGAATATTTCTTTGGTTGGTTTAGGTCCCCTGCCCGGTTGTGTCCCCTCCCAACCTATTGTGCCTCCCCCTCTCCCAAGTCTGTTCACAGAGGAGGCAGGGTGGGAGATAAAGAAGGCCTTGATGCTGTGCAAGCATTGTTCAGCAACAGCTAAGGCATCATGTGTGTCTTTTAAAACTCCCTCTTTTCGCTTCAGTTGCTGAACATAATGTTACATCGTATGGAATATTTCTTTGGTTGGTTTAGGTCCCCTGCCCGGTTGTGTCCCCTCCCAACCTATTGTGCCTCCCCCTCTCCCAAGTCTGTCCACAGAGGAGGCAGGGTGAGAGATAAAGAAGGCCTTGATGCTGTGCAAGCATTGTTCAGCAACAGCTAGGGCATCATGTGTTATCAGCATTGGTTTGATCAAAAAATCTAAACCACAGCACCATGGTGCTATGGCGAAGATTAACTATTAAGAAGATTACCTCTGTCCTAGCCAGGCCCAGTGCAATGAGATTTCTGATGTAACAGAGTGATGCAAGATAACATCTGTATTGTGTTGTCAGTGTAAGTTGTGCTTACCAAAATACAGCAATTGCAATTCTGATGTAACAGAGTGATGCAAGATAACATTTGTGTTGTGTTGTCAGTGTAAGTTATGCTTACCAAAATACAGCAATTGCAATAGACAGTTCAATCACGATACCAACGTGATTCCCATCACAGGTCTGTATGCTGTGCTCACTGTCACAATGTTGGGTATCCCCAGTCCCCGGGAAGGGCCAACATCAACGGAATGAGTTTCAACAAGGGCAAGTGCAAGGTCCTGCACTTGGGCCACAACAACCCCCTGCAGCGCTACAGGCTGGGGGAAGTGTGGCTGGAGCTGCCTGGAGGAAAGAGACCTGGGGGTTCTAGTTGACAAGCAGCTGAATATGAGCCAGCAGTGTGCCCAGGGGGGCAAGAAAGCCAACAGCATCCTGGCTTGTATTAGAAATAGCGTGACCAGTGGAAGTAGGGAAGTGACTGTGCCCCTTTACTCAGCACTGGTGAGGACACACTTTGAGTATTGTGTCCAGTTTTGGGCACCTCAATACAAGAGAGATATGGAAGTGCTGGAGTGGGTGCAGAGGAGGGCAATGAAGCTGGTGAAGGGCCTGGAAAACAAATGATATGAGGAGCAGTTGAAGGAGCTGGGACTGTTTAGTTTGAGGAAGAGGAGGCCGAGGGGAGACTTCATCACTCTCTATATCTACTTGAAAGGACACTGTAGAGAGGTTGGGGCTGGTCTCTTCTCACAGGTAAATAATGACAGAACGAGAGGGAACGGCTTCAAGCTCCAACAAGGTAGGTTTAGACTGAACATTAGGAAAGAATTTTTCACAGAAAAAGTGGTCAGACACTGGAACAGGCTGCCCAGGGAGGTGGTTGAGTCACCATCCCTGGACGTGTTTTAAGAGCTGTTTAGATGTGGTGCTGGGGGATATGGTGTAGGGGAGAACTTTGTAGAGTAGGGTTGATGGTTGGACTCGATGATCCCAAGGGTCTCTTCCAACCTAGACCATTCTATGGTTCTATGATTCTATGAAGCGAGCTCAAGCCCATTTCTGTCTTTGAAATTCTTTTGCAAGTTGTATAGTTTTTGTACTCCTGCGTTGGGCTGAGCTCTGTATTCACTCATCCCGTGCTGGTCTGGCTAACTCAGACAGACACTCTTCCTCTTTTAATGAACTCAGAAAGAAGCGTTTATGTGACTGGTTGATCCACTCGGCTGACGTAGCCATTTATCTACAACAAAGGCCACTCTCTGGTCCACTTTGTGTTGAGACCCAAGTCGGCCTCTTTGCAACAGCTGTGGTCAAGTCATGCAGCTTCATACCATCAGCGCTGTGACTACCTTCCATTGTTGGGGCTTATTGGTCACTCACAGAGCCCTAACTCCTGCAGTGGGCTGTACAGGGGATAGTAAGATCCCCAAGTGCTTAACTCAGCTACTGCAGTCAAGTCCTTGTTTATTCTGGGGCAAAATACCAAATTCAGTGTCCTTCTCTTAGAGTTGTGTGTTGGTAGGGCAAATAGGGACTAATGTGTTCTTTCTTGCAGATAAGAAAGATGATTCCTCCACTAAAGGTTTGAAGAACAACAAAGAAGACAATTGTGATGAAATATGCGTGTTCCATGTGTGGAAGTACTGCAAAAACAAAGGTAAGCTTTATAAAATGTAATGTTATCTTGGGAGAGCAGCGTTGGCAGAGGCACTCCCTGCTCAGTGCCTCGACTAGTGGTGGTATATGGAGTGATGGTGGTGGTTGTGCCTTCTCACTTACTCGCTTTGTTTCCAAGTCACTAATAAACATTGTCAGAATTACAAACATAATAAAAAATACATGCAAACATAATAAAAGTCAAGTGGATACACTCAGACCCTTTCTGCTCTCGATGATCCATCTACATCCTATTTCAGTCCTGTTGATGGTGTCAGGCTTTGGGTATGTTTCTGTGGCAAAAACCCTTCCAAGTGTTAAATGTTGCACTTTCTGTAACTTTTAGATCCATTCTAGAGCCAACATTATGCTGTCGTCATTGACAACTGGTAACTATTCTTTTATACCTGCTGTATGCTATATACATCAGATAATAGCCATATTCTTCCCCTACTAAGTCCTTTAAAAAATGATCTGAGGCATTACAACACCTTAAAACAGAGTAGGTGTACCAGCTAAGCTAAAGATAAGTCTAGTCCATTGTCTGGCAGTGGCCAATACAGGGGTCTGGGGTAAAAAATAAGTATAAACCATTGAATTTGGGGGCTGTCCCTGAACCCCCAGGTTAGGCTCTTCCTTGGTTATGAGGAGGTACCGTAAGATTTTATTTCAGTGAATTTGTCCAGTCACTTTCTAAAGGCTACTCCTTTTCTGACCTCCTGGTCTTGGTAAAAGATCTGCTTAAATTAGGTCAGACTGTGTTTGCTCTCTCTTAGGATGTGGACAAGTGTGATAAGGTGCCAGGTACCTGTGTGGTCTGAGGTGTTTGGGTGTGTTTAGTATGTTCTGGTAAAGATGCATTTCTCCCATCAGAAGCTCCTTTTCTGAGAGGCAGATGAGGAAGTTACTTTAGGGCTTGATAATACCTCTTCTTAACCATTACTTTGAAAAGAGATAGTACTTTAAAAATAAATTATCTCTTTTATGGGTATATTATGGGTCATAGAAATGAAATCTGGCCGAGGGAGACCAAGTGTGGTTTTGTCTACAGTTTTTCAAGTCAACACAGGGTACACTCCAGCCCTGTTAACAAAAAGAAGGAAGAAAGGACTGAATGACACTGTCGTCTTCATAACTGGGGTTTGTTCCTATATGTTCTGTGATCAAATACATCAGGGGTCAGGAACGGTGAAACTCCTATTGGCTCTGTCTGTGCAGCAGCTTCTCCAGCCTTTTATCACCTTTCTCAGACCCTGCTTCTTTAGGACCAGACTTAAAGCTTAAGTTTATGAACTTTTGGACCTGCCTAGTGTGAATGGTGTCCCTACGTGCGGGCTGTGGAGGTCAGACTCAGAGCAGCTATACTGTGACTGCCAAATAGCTGGAAAGGCTGAGTGTAGGGTCCCTCCTGGGGGATGTTCTGTGGGGTATTGCAGTCCTTTATGCTGCCTCATTCATTGGGCTGGGCCTTAAAAAAAACCCACCCCACGTTCAGGCCTTGGGAAGCACCCCATAAGCTCTATGGGAAAGAGAAACAAATATATCAGAGTGCTTATGTGATGTGTGGACTAGGCATTTTACAGCTGAGAAATACGGTGGAGTGACACAGAGACACACACTTCCTATCTGTGGCCCTGCTCACCCAGCTGCCGAGGTAGAGCATCAGCAAAGGGAAAGCTGTGGTTTCTTTGAAATGCATTTGGCAGTGCCAGAGCTCATGTTGCATTTCTAGGTAAGACTGGAGAAACACTCCCCCCCGGGGTTCAAATGTATTTATGTTTTCAGCACTTTGTCACTATTTCTCATACTAAACCCCATTAGATAAAGCCAGAGTGTGAAAAATGCTTGGATTTTTTTTTTCCCCTCATCTTGCTCTCTGTGTTATGATTGCAGAGCTCTTGACTATGTCTGACCCCATTAGATAAAGCCAGAGTGTGAAAAATACTTGGATTTTTTTTTTCCCCTCTTGTCTTGCTCTCTGTGTTATGATTGAAGAGCTCTTGACTATGTCTCCTCTCATTACAGATAAATGCAGATTTGTTCATTACCATTTGCCATATCGATGGCAGGTGTATAACGGGATCACCTGGAATGACCTTTCCATGATGGAGGAAGTTGAAAAGGCCTATTGTGACCCAAAAACCAGCAGGTATAATGATGCTGGACTGCTTGCTTAGGGGTTAGGCCCCCTGAGGAAAAACTCTTGTTTTCTTCCTAAGGGTATCTGACTTCTGATTCTCAGCTTCTCAGAATCCGTGAGGATGTTCAAAGGAGAATTTTTCTTTTAAAAGGAAAAGTAAAGGTGATTGCATGGAAATATCACCCCATTTTTGTCTTCTAAAAATAACACAGCAGTATCTTGCATTTTACATTTTGTACAGGGTAACAAGAAGTAGGTGGAATTTAGTGCTTAGTATTTCAGATAACGAATCATAATTTATTTATAGTAGTTGAGTTGGGCCTTTAAATAGCCGTTGAGAGATGGCCCTTTTGCATGGCTATTCTGTTCCTAATACAACTAGTACCTATAATTATAATACCTATAATGTGCCTAGAGGAATTTTATGAAATGCCCTTTTTTTAAAGAGTTCATTTTCCCTTTAACTCCTTTCCAAAAGCCCCACTGTAATTTCCCCCCCTGAATTTGTAGGGGGCGCCAAGTTTGACCTCAATGAAATGGTATAATCACTTTGGCCCGTGCTCTTCAAACAGCAGATGATTTTGATTTGCAGCTTGACTAGGCTGCTGGATGCTGCAAATCACAGCAAGATGCCAAAGGGGAGGCTGCTTTCCCAAGTCTTTCTGCCTGAAAGTTAATTTTTTGAGTCTGCCAGGAGTAAGAGTCTAGGTGGCTCCAGAGATGAATGCTTTTTGCAGAACTTACAGCTGTGATTGCATCCCCTGTAACCACAGAACAAGAACAGAGTTGATAAGCTGCAGGTGTTTGCTGGCAAACTCAGTCAGGTACTTATCAACTTCTGATTTTTTTGTACTGAGAAAATCTGGAACCATGTTTATTTATTGCAGAAATACCTTTTGCCACGTTGTACATGCAGCCCCAGATTGTCTGTAAAGCTGGCAGTGCAACATCTGGTTAGGGATTGAGGTGGCATTCAGTGTCTCAGAGGCCACAGTACGCTTCTGAAGACTGGAAACAGTTTTCAGAGCTGCCATGCGTGCTGTGGGAAATCCTCCTATTTCAGACCCATTCAGGCAGTCATATTAAATAAAATTGCATCATATTAAACTGGAGATTAGAGCATAAAAGATATGCTGTTAACTGTAATAAACCTGAATTTGACCTTACAGCATACCGGATAAGAACATTAATTTCAAGACAATGACCTGTGGTTCTTCTTCACTTCGGCGCCTCTCTACACCATCATCAGTCACAAAACCCGGATTTGTACTGACTACGCAGTGGATTTGGTATTGGAAGAATGATGAAGGCCTGTGGATTGAATACGGAGAACAGGTGAGTCCACCTCCTGTGCTTTGAATCACTTCTGAAGAAATGTGTGGAGCCTCTTCCCCCCGTTCCCCTTAACTCAGCAAGGTTAATTGGGCCAATACTTGTGCTTGAATTTTGTAGTGTCAAGAAAGGCAGTGAAACTACGGATGTTACCAACAGATGTGATAAGATGATGACAGACTGGAAGGGGAGGAACACATCTTATCTCCTTCAATACGAACAGTTGTCTGTCTTCGTGTCTGGATGATTTGTTGTAACTGCTTTCCTGACAAAGATCTTGTTGGCAAATGCAGGAAAGCAGAATTTCTTTTTTTTTTTCAGCTTGTGTTGATCAGACTGTTTCTGATGATGCATGCCGGTGTTTCTCATCAGATTCACTTTTGGAGTTGTCTGTGGCTTCTATGCAGACTTAACATGTATACACTGTTCCTTGAGATATATTGCCTTTTAAATTATTCAGGAACTAGTCTTGCTTCTCTTCTGAGCATTGTCCTGCTTCCTCAGATGTGTAAGGATTGCTCTGCTCTCTCAAGTCAAATGTTACCTTTTTCCTTGGTTGGCCAAATCCTCTTTGAGAGTGATCTGTCCGAAAAATGCAGGAGAAGAAGTAAATAAAAAAATCTCTCCTTCCCCCAAGGCAGATGAGTTTTCCCCATCTGGTTTACAGTATAACTGCACAAATGGCAGAACACAAAAGTGACCCAGGGACGTGAAAAAGTAGGTAAAGATGATGGATAGAGTGGTAACTTTTGTAATGGTGGGTCTTGATTTCAGTGGGCAGCTTAAATGGAAAGCATCTCCATCAGCACACCCTCGTATTTGACATTGTTTTGTACATTAGAGAATTATACTTGCATCACGGTTTAACCCTGGTGTTGTGGAGTGCATTTAGAATCTACCTACTATGCCAGTTTGTTGCAGGGGAGATTTTAGACTTTAAAAGAAAGATTGCGAAAGGTAGTGGCAAAAGTAGTTTTATTGAAGTAGGATGTTGTAAAGGTGAGATTTAACAAAGCCTGATAGCAAGGTTCACTCTATTGTTTACTCCACTGATGATATAATAATAATAATAAAGTGAGCATTACAAAAGCTTAGTACACTGTAATACAAGGTTGTGTACCATATTGCTCACTTACCAAAGATCTGCAGCTGGAAAGGGGCCTCTTGGCCTCAAGGACTAACCTTGAGAAGCTTCCAAGCTCAGGGAGAGATCGCTGCTGGCAGCCTGCTCCTTAGCAGGGAGAGCTCAAAAAAGCTCACTCAGGCTGTTGTACTTATGAAATAAAGTGGTTGGCCCATAGTCAAATTACATGCAGTGGAAAAGGTAAGCAGGAGAGTCCTTGTACCCACAACTTCCTTTGTTCCTTGACAAATTAGTCTTGGAAGGACCACCTGCTTTTCGTTTCTTAGCCACGTGATCAGTGTTCCAGTTTCCAAGCTCATATGCATCAGTGCCCACCACGTCACCCTGGCCCTGTGTGGGTTTTCAGGTTGGAGCTAGAGAAGTTCATGGCCCGGTCGTGGCCTAGGACTTCAGAGGAGGGTGGTTCAGGCTCCTACTTCCTTTGGAGCCTGAATCAAACTGACACTAGTTTGGTCAAGGACTTGAGTGCATCTGTCATACCCAGCTAGGCACCACGCAGCCGCTCACCCAGTGGGATGCGGGAGAGAATCTGAAGGGTGAAAGTGAGAAAACTCGTGGGTTGAGATAAAGACAGTTTAATAGGCAAAGCAAAACAAGGAATCCGTTCACTGCTTCCCATCAGTGGGCAGGTGTTCAGCCATCTCCAGGAAAGCAGGGCTCCATCACATGTGAGGGTTACTTGGAAAGACAAATGCCATCACGCCAAACCCTGCCCCTCTTCCCCCCTTCCTCCTTTTCCCAGCTTTTATTGCTGACTATGACGTGATATGTTATGGGATATCCCTTTGGCCAGTTGGGGTCAGCTGTCCCAGCTGTGCCCCCTCCCAACTCCTTGTGCACCCCCAGCCTCCTTGCTGGTGGGGCAGGGTGAGGAGCAGAAGAGGCCTTGACTCTGTGCAAGCACTGCTCAGCAATAACTAAAACATCCCCATGTTATCAACACTGTTTTCAGCACAAATCCAAAACACAGCACCATGTAGAAGAAATTTAACTATGAAGAAATTTAACTTTATCCCAGCCCAAACCAGTGCAATTTGTTACAGAAATTTAAATGGGATACCTGTGTGTGAGTCATTGCTAATTATGTACTTATGCGTATGTTATGAATAGTTTGGGAATCACACGTTAAGCTATAATAGTTCTGAGTAGATTCCTCCTCATCCTACTCTTTGCCTCTTCTTTCCCTCTACCCAAACTACTTATCCAGGGTTTAGTCCTGACTGTGTTTATTCATTACTCTTTTCTCTCTCTCTCTTTTTTTTTTTTTTTTCCTCCAAAGGGAGAAAAGAATAGCGTGAACGCACCATCTTCTGCTACTATTGAGAATTTGTATCTAGCAGATCCAGATACCACCATATTTTTCCAGGCTGGCTTGCATGATTACCAGCTCAATTTTAAAGGTACTCACTTTAAGGGTTTTCATTTACAACTGTGCAGTGCTTTACAAAGACTAACTTCCGAATTATCCCAGCTTTTGGAAGCTATGGTTTCTTTTACTAACACTACCAGGTATACGCATTGAAAGGAAAAGTGAGGTAGTGATTTCCCAGAGAAAATTCCATATAAAAGTAGCGTGCCCCCTTACTCATTGACTCTATCCAGATTCACACAGGATCAGAAATAAAAAGATACGTAGTCTTCACATAAAGTCGTAGTAAACTTTAAGTGAGTTAATGCTGTGAAATGTAAAAATCAAAAACAAAGCATTTTTCTGTGCTGTTGGAGCAACGTTTAAAGAGTGTGAATGACTTAAAGGAGCAACCAAGATAGGCTTAAGTCAAATAACAATGTTATGAGAAGGACAGGAAGGTTACATAGGCTTTGTGCAACTGTTCTTCAGCAGATAGAATTGACGATGAGTATGCCACTTCTCATTAATGAATGACTGTCACTCATTAATAACCCCATCTTGTAGACTTCTTCATGACTTTTTCCTTCTCTTTTCTCCTCAAGAAATGACCCAGACAAACATCTCATATAAAACTCGAAGACAAGTCTGCAGGCGACCAAAGTTTGTGTCTTTTGAAGACGTGCAGAAGATAAAGAAAGGGTAAATGATGCTCTTTAAGTTGTTGTTTTTTCATATTTCAGAAGTAGTTATAAGGCAACATGGCTACCAGTGGTTGCAGTAATCGTGCAAAGAATGTAGCCATTGCTAGAAGGTAACGTACCCATTTGCCTGAACTGTATCACAAACTCCCAGCTTGGTGCATCACCTGGTTTCTGGGTTATGTGTTATTCCAAGTAGCGCATCCATAGGACTGGTGATGGACAGTTGCTCCATAAAGAAACAAGTGAAAGAGAACTATGACAATTGAATGGCAACGTGCAAAACCCAGCTTACAGACTGAGGCCATTCCCATGGTTTATTTTATTTATTTTTAAGTACAGGAATTGGCCAAAGGTGATACTTCCAATTTGAGTGTTCAGAGCAGGACTAGAATCACTAACACTTTGTTTTCTTTCTGTTTATAAACAGCCAGAAGGATTCTTCTATTCCAAGTCAAACCTGTCCTACCCACTGGGATGCATCTGCACTGCCTGAGTTCGGATACAAGGTACCTTTTTTTTTCCTTCTTTTTTTAACCCCTCCTTGTAATTCTGATGGAAAGGAAAGGTTCGAAGGAGGATGCTGCTTAACGAAGCAATTTTAACTGGGTAGATGCTAAAAAGGGACCGGATTGATTTCTTGGGTAGCTGTGTTAAAGAGCTAGATGATCTCCCGAGAGCTCTTGAAAAAGGTGCCAAACTCTCATGAACTTCATCTGCATTTTAGGCATCTATCTACATGCAAAACCAAGACTCACCAAATTCAAGACGAAAAGATTTGCTGTTAAAAAAAGTAAAAATGGCTTACTTTGGTGACTTAGTGGACCAGTTATACAATGGGCTATTATGAAGTGTGTTATTTCTTCACTAGAAGCTGGGCTGAGACCAAACCTTTTCTGTGGAGGCCGTTAAAAAGCCACCCAATAACAATACCATCATGGGTGTTGGTGGACTGGAGATCTAGGAAAGGAAATCTCTATGTGCTCTTTAAGTCACCCACTACTGTCACATGCATCACGGATCTGAGCACAGACCGTGGCCTCAAGGAATGGCAGACATAAAGAGGTACAGCCAATAAAAAAAGAGAAAGCCCAACAGTTGCAGTGATCTCTTTGACAAAACAAACCAGTTATACAATGGGCTATTATGAAGTGTGTTATTTCTTCACTAGAAGCTGGGCTGAGACCAAACCTTTTCTGTGGAGGCCGTTAAAAAGCCACCCAATAACAATACCATCATGGGTGTTGGTGGACTGGAGATCTAGGAAAGGAAATCTCTATGTGCTCTTTAAGTCACCCACTACTGTCACATGCATCACGGATCTGAGCACAGACCGTGGCCTCAAGGAATGGCAGACATAAAGAGGTACAGCCAATAATAAAAAAAAAAACAACCCCCAGCAGTTGCAGTGATATCTTTGACAAAACAAACTCCTGTCAGCCCAAAGTCTATGGTCCTATTTGGTCTACTGAGACCAAAAATGTGCAGGTGTTTTTGAAATTATTAGGTCTAATGGTATTAGGAAGCAGTCCTGCAAGAGCAACAGAGACTGTGGAATTAATGTGGTGTGCTAGAAAAAAGGCATTTCAGTGATACACTTGTCCTTTTTTATAGTGGTTCTGACCCTGATTAAGGAACAGCACAAAGAGATTTTTCTTGTTGACTGTATCACAGAATCTTGGATGATGCTGACCAAGTTGTATTGGCATAGGTATCATGATGGCTAGGGACAGAAGAAAAGTGTAATAATCATATTTCCAGAACTCTTTCTGGCTACTTTCAGTTGACAGAAAGTTCCATTGCTACTCTCACTCTTTGTATTTTATTTTCCCTAATGTAGTTACGTTGGCAGTGGTATGAGAACCAGAAATACCATGTATCTCAGCTTCCGTGGGCTGGTTTCTGTTATTCTGCTTTGTGCTGAATGTTTCATTATACCCCGACTACTCTTTGGTGTTGGATTATGCCTTACTCAATGTAACTCTAGTATCTGGCCATGTAGTATCTGACAGGCCAGACAGTGTAGACAGTTGCACAACTTTCTCCGTCTCCACCGCCGCCAGACCAAACGCCCACCGGTAGCCCCTCGGGTCCTTAAAATAGCCTTTCCTGAGGTAATCTATGCCAAGAATGCATGGTGCATCCGGGCCAGTCAGAATGGGGAACTTTCCCCATTTATTCCCAGTTAGGCTCACTTTGGCCTCCAGTACAGTCAGGTCTTGAGATCCTCCTGTCACTCCAGCAATAGTGACAGATTCTTCCCTTGTGTGATTTGAGGGCATTACAGTGCACTGTGCACCAGTGTCCACCAGGGCCCTACACGTTTGTGGTTCTGATGTGCCTGGCCATGGAATCCACACAGTCCAATAAACTCAGTTGTCCCTCTCCTCCCCCTGGCTGGAGGCAGGGCAACCCTAGTTTTGATGAGAGGGCCCACCACTTCCATCTGTGACAGTTGTGTGTCGTAAATAAGGGTCCTTGAGGGCATTACAGTGCACTGTGCACCAGTTTCCACCAGGGCCCTACATGTTTGTGGTTCTGATGTGCCAGGCTATGGAATCCACACAGTCCAATAAACTCAGTTGTCCCTCTCCTCCCCCTGGCTGGAGGCAGGGCAACCCTAGTTTTGATGAGAGGGCCCACCACTTCCATCTGTGACAGTTGTGTGTCGTAAATAAGGGTCCGAGGCCCATCTCTGCCTTCTAGGGGACTTTACTCTGGAAACTGGAGCAGCACTGCTCCTGGAAGAACCCCTCCTGGGAGGTGTCTTACTCTGCGACTCACGTACACATGTCTGTAAAGCCAAAGTAGGTTTTCCATCCCAGTTCCTCATGTTTTCTCCCTGATTACACAGGGTAGACCACAGGATGTGTCGTGGTGTGCTTTGCTTCTCTCGACCAGGTTTAGTAGGGAAGTGTTTGTCCCCACCTGAGATATTGACCTTGCCAAATGATTTCTTCAGCACTGAGACACTGGCTTGTGGGGCAGAAAGAAGATTATTTGCTTAATGCTGCATTTGAGCATTTGTATCACCCACCGTTGGTGCCTCATCATCTCTCCAGCAAAATATTGCCAATACATTACCATACGCTGCTGGTGCACTCAGTGCCCATTTGCGCCAAACGGGTCCAGTAACTTTGAGTGCATCTGGATCTAATGATGTCTGCAGGTTGCCCAAATCGCTGAAAATCATCTCCTGCACAGCTATTTCCTTCAGATTCTTAACGCCTCTCTCAATAGTTGTCCACTTGGATGGCTGGTATGTGATATCGTCCCTATAGGGATACCTGCTCCTCACACTTAACAGGAGTCGCCTCCAGAGGGTGAGGGATTGCGGTGGTCTTCCAAGAGCTCTGTCATTACCTGATTCTCTATCTAATGGTGCTACCCACTTGGCTTCTCTACCATCTAAGTCCAAACTATCAGCCCCAGTGTCCCAGCATCAGACCAGCCAAGGAATCACTTGCTCACCTTCCTGACGGCTGTAATCCTTCCGTATGTCTCGCAGCTCAGTTAGGGTTAATGGTGGAGTAGTTTTCTCTGTTACTGTATTGCCTGATGTCCCTGGTTGACCATTGTCATCTGATGCTACTGCACGTTTCCTCTTATATACAGGGTTGCCTGACACTGGCCCTGATTGAGTCTGTAGATCAGCTGCATCATCCGTCACCAAGGTCGAAGTAGATTCAGTCCTTGGTGCAGCTGCAGGTCTTGTCATGAGAGCCAGCATGGTCTGGATAAGATCAGGGTCTGTTGGGAGGGCTGGTGGTGTCTGCACGGGCACAGTGTCTGTCGGGGGGGCCGGCGTGGTCTGCACGGGCACAGTAGTTGTCACGGGGACTGGTGGTGTCTGCACGGGCACAGTGTCTGTCGGGGGGGCTGGTGGGGTCTGCATGGGCACAGTAGTTGTCATGGGGACTGGTAGTGTCTGCACGGGCACCATGTCTGTTGGGGGGCTGGTGGGGTCTGCATGGGCACAGTAGTTGTCATGGGGATTGGTAGTGTCTGCATGGGCACCATGTCTGTCGAGGGGGTTGGCAGGGTCTGTTCCAAAAAACGGAACAATTACAAAAGACCTAATAACATAGCAAAATACCGCCACACAAAATAACAAGGCAATGTTTTCAACTCCACATTTAGAAATGATAAGCTTCCCTAAACCAATGAGAAATGGCAACAAACTCTTGCAGCACTCCCATAAACTGCCCACATACAGCTGCCCAGAGATAGCAGAGAACTCTGCTTCCGGAACAACTCCAGCAGATCCATAATGACTCTTCTACAAATCCAATCAAACCTGTTTACAATTTCAGCCCTTCAGAACTCTCAAATTAAGGCCTCTGATTCTCCCAGCACCATTTCAATTACGTGCAAGCTATCACGTTAAGTATCAAGGTGGTTAAAATCCCACTGTGCGTGCCAAACTTTGTTAAAACACCACATTATACAGGCACAGTAGTTGTCATGGGGACTGGTAGTGTCTGCACGGGCACCATGTCTGTTGGGGGGCTGGTGGGGTCTGCATGGGCACAGTAGTTGTCATGGGGATTGGTAGTGTCTGCATGGGCACCATGTCTGTCGAGGGGGTTGGCAGGGTCTGTTCCAAAAAACGGAACAATTACAAAAGACCTAATAACATAGCAAAATACCGCCACACAAAATAACAAGGCAATGTTTTTAACTCCACATTTAGAAATGATAAGCTTCCCTAAACCGATGAGAAATGGCAACAAACTCTTGCAGCACTCCCATAAGCTGCCCACGTACAGCTGCCCAGAGATAGCAGAGAACTCCGCTTCCAGATCTTTGAAACAACTCCAGCAGATCCATAATGACTCTTCTACAAATCCAATCAAATCTGTTTACAATTTCAGCCCTTCAGAACTCTCAAATTAAGGCCTCTGATTCTCCCAGCACCATTTCAATTACGTGCAAGCTATCACGTTAAGTATCAAGGTGGTTAAAATCCCACCGTGCGTGCCAAACTTTGTTAAAATACCACATTATACACCAAATTCATTAAAAAACCACATTAGGTGCCAAATTTGTTAAGATATGACGATGGGCACCAAATTTATTAAAATACCGCGCTGGGTGCCTAATTTGTTAAAATACCACATTGGGTGCCAAATTTATTAAAATACCACATTGGGCGCTAAATTTGTTACAGTTTGAAAGAACCCATAACAATCTATTGTCGTTTAGACAATCATTCTATCACCCAATGACCCCTCCCCATCTGGAAAGGGGAATCGGGGAACGCAAAGAAACACAAGAGTTGAAATATAAAGAGATTTAATAGACTAAGACTAAATAATTAACAATAATACTAAAGAACCAGTATGAATCCCGACACTGATCTAAGATATCCAAGAATTATCCCCAGCCCATTCTCTCGGCAGAAGCCGTGCGCTCCCAGCAGGGACAGCAAATGGCGGACACTGCCAGCGCAATGGCTTCAGGAGGAAGGGAAGGCCTCAGGGCTCCGGCACCGGGGCAAGGAGTTGTCTGGACCCGCCGCCATCAAGGGAGAGCCCCCTACACAGCAATTTTTTCTAATTTATATTGAATGTGACATTCATGGTAGGAAATAATCCTGTTGGCCAGCCTGGGGCAAATGCCCAGGCCTTGCTCCTCCTCGTCCCTGTGCCCGGCAAGGCTCAAAAACACTAACCTTGAATCCCACAGAGCCTGGCTGGCTATAAAGTAAATATTTTCACAAATTCAGACCCTAGAGTCTTCTAAAAGCGCAATTTTCCCCAGTATTAAAAGAAAAGTTAGTGCTGTGTCTCTCAACCCAGGACGCCGTGTGTGTGTATATAGCAAATTCAACTAAATAAATTTGATTTTTCATCAGAACTGTAACTCAACTGCTCAGTACCTTAGCTGCCTTTAAATAGCTGTTCTTCAAAATTAGCAAAAACCGCTAATTTTTCAAGATTGTAAAAGTGTCGGGTGTCCAGCACCTGCTGAATGAACTAATAATGAGTTCGTGTGGAAATCTGGCAGCCAGACCTTTTGAAGATTTGGACCTGTGATATTTTCAGCTCTGTCAAAATAATACAGGATGTAGCTCATCAGCTCTCCCTTTGGCCTGTCGGCAGCTTAACTGATTCACATAAGCTTAAAATTTTTCAAAAGAATGCTAGGAAGACAGATAGCTCAGTTCTTTTTAGATCTCTGAGTTGTATGTACTTAACTGCTTCCCTTATTTACTCTGAAAAAGTTCAGTCTGAACTTTGGTTGGGTCCATTGGAGGTGTTTCTGGAGTCACTGAGGTGGGTGTTGAGAGCCTTGGGATGCGGTGTGCCGATCCGTGGTGTCGCTGGTGGTTCCTTGTGGGGATGCATGAAATAGAAGGACCGTCTCCTTTCCAAGAGCTGTTTGCTTGCTGAGTTCGCACCTAAGAAAACCATCTCTTAACTTGTAAACTGAGTGCCTTTCATAGGAAAGGAGGAGTTAATTCTGTACCTAAAAAAATGACAAAACCCACAGTACCTGTTGGTACTAAAAGTGAAAGCCGGGGCTAGATGAAATATTTCAGTGGGACCCTAATTTTGTTTTTTTGCAGTAGGTAATATTGGGACTGGCTGGGATTCTGCATGCGTGTGGCGACCATCGTAACGTCTGAAAATGAATTGGTGAATTGGTGGTGAATTGGTGAAAAACGACTTGGTGAATTCCCTTCTCTTCAGACATTGACAAATAATCCTGGCAAAATTTGCTGCGCTGGAAGTGATCCATTTTAAAAAGGAGCACCTAAATGAGATAGGGAGAAAGTCATCTTTGCTTAAAAAGAGCAGTTCTGTTTGCATAACATTGCTTATTTTTTGGGTGTTGCTGTATCTTAATCTCTAAATCATTTAGTGTCGTAGTTGTGTAGAAAGTAGAGTGTAATGAAATGCACAATCGAAATTGGAATCATCAATTGGAAAGTTGATGTGGATTTCTTCTATCTTTGTTTAACAAAGTGGAATTAGTAATTGGGAAAGCTTTTAAAGGCCAAAAAAAAAAAAGGAATTGATACTGTCTTGGAACTTTGTGCTTGGTTTTAAATTGTTTCTTTAATGTACAGCTGAGGAATGTGTGCAGCGAATGTGTGTGTTTTATGTCGGGATTAGATTGCTGTGCTGTAGCAAGAGTGGGAGCTGATGCAACATGAACAGTCTGTCTGTGCTCTTCATAAACATTAGTTCTAGTTGGGTCACTGTCACTAATACAAACTGGGCTGCTTCCAAAACCTAAGTTAACCCAGAGGTCGAGGTTTGATACCACAGAGTACTGTTCTTGTGCAGTCATACGCTGTCAGTTACTGCCAGGGCAGTGATTCTTTCCCTGCCTTAGAAACTCCACTCCTTGATAATGTGTTAGCAAATGCTTGTCCTCTCTAGGATTTTGCTTTTTAGGTTTGAAGATGAAAAGAGCTAAAGAAGTTATGTTGACATGAAAGTATCAGCCTGCAATAGCGATGTGGTGTTACCCTTTATTAGCAAGGCAAGAGTCCTTGGGGAAACAAGGACAATCCCACAAAGTTTTCATGCAAAAGAGAACTGGCTTCGTTGCTTGGAGGCCATTGTATGATAAAATAATTGAAGTACCTTTTGTACAGGATTAGGCTTTGTACCACATGGCTGACCCTCTGTTTTACCCAGAAGGCTTACTGTTCCTCAGTAAAAGATGCAACATAAAAAAAGCATATTTGTAGTCTAAGTAAGAGTTGGTTATGGATGAATAAAAGATGTAGTACTGGAATATAGTGACATCGTTTTCATCTTGTAGGTGATGGTGGGCAGCTTGAGCTGTGGTGTCCCAGAGCATGCAGATAATAAATACCTGCCTATCCAATTTGTTTTATGTGTTATGTTGTAAAGAAGCTTTGGAAAATATTCTTGTATTAAGACATGGGAAATTTCATTCAACATTGTAAAAGCTTTTTAATAAATTTAAAGAAATAATTCTTCCTTGTGCAGCTGACTTTATTCTTAATCCGTAGAAGACTTTCCTATGATAGACCTCTTCTTCAGTAAATATTTAATGCACAAGTTGGACATGGTGTCCAGAAAACCACTTCTTTATTATTTTTATGCATCTGTGAAATGTACATCTTATTTTATCTCCTCTCTAAACTCAGCCTTCTAAAACATGGAGCTTTTCCCTGCCAGGTTAAGATGTTTATTTCATATTACCTTCTAGGACAACTACAGCTTTCTTGCTTAAAACACAACTCTGATGCATGCGATGTTGGGCGTTTCACTTGAAATCATCTTGAGTTCCCATTTGGCTTAGGCAGCAGTAAAGTGGAAAGTATTAGCAAGTGACATCAGTCTGCCAGCATTATGCATTTTCAGTCAAGTTCATGGAAGATAAGTGTTTATTCTAGAAGATGAAGGCACATTAGAGGAAAAAATGGAAAATTTATGCATGAGATAAGCAGAAAAGCTCAAATCGTGTTTTAACGATGTTTTACATGAAGTTTTCTTTGGGAAAAATGTCCATTTCTTGATGGATTTCTATACATGAAAAGTGTGGATAAATACACCTTGTTTCCTAAGCAGGTATTTAGTGTAACATTTCTTTTAGAATCTTAATTGTTCTGTTATGTTTTGAAATGTAGCTTTTTTCTGAAGTCAATATTTAAGTGCAACTTTCCAAGTTTTAACTTTTCAAAGTTACAGAGCTAAGATGCTGGGAGGTTGTATGTATTTTGTTTCTTTCCTCTTTAATAGCTGAAGCTCCCTTAAATGTCTGTTTACAGATGACACTGTTGTCTAATTCCCCCTCAAATCAGCTTTATATATAAAACTAAAATTATCTGGAATAATCAGTCAAGTTTTATTTTTGAAATTTCTGTTTCATTGAGATTTAAAGTTACAAGTGTCAACTCTTACTTGGAGTGTCTGACCTAATTATTCACATAGTCATGATCTAAAGCATTAAATTAACTTTCATAAGTATAGTTTTTGGGGACCCTTCTGAAAATATATCTGCTGTAATTAGGTTCTGCATGTTATGAGCTAACTGAAGCCTCGTGCCTTCTTTTGTTTTGGTTTATATTTTATAGACAGTGGAGCTCAGTAGTACAACCTCTGAATACGACAAAATAAAGCAGCTGTTCCTTCAGACTATGAAAGGCTACAGCATCCTTAAAATACGGAGGATTCAGAATCCATCTCTCTGGAAGGTGTTTCAGTGGTTAGTATTTGTTTCCTTATCCTTTTGGGGAGGGAGTCTCCAAGAGCTGGTGTCCTGTATCTGCTTCCTAGGAAAGCGAAGACGTTACCACCTGTGCTTTAGCATGACTGGTACCTCCTACTTTGGGGCAGTTTCATGAGTGAAATTTAGTGTCTCTAGCATTTCCAGAGAATGCTGTGCTCCCAGAGGGAGTTTCCTTTTGCTTGGCTCCTTGGAAGATGAGGGTGGGGGATGAACAGAAAGACATGAATGCTGCAAAATTGGAATGAGGGTATAGGATGTGGAATAGTGTATTGTCACTGGGATTGAACACTAACTGCCTGCTGCACATGTGTTCTCTCTGTTACCAATGTTTACCATTAGACTATGAAATGCTTGCTAAGAAAGAAGTGGGCAAGGGGAAAGGGTGCTTGGGCCTTTTTTGTTTTTTTCCTGTCTGATTTATTTAAGGCTTTCTCAAGGTTTGAGTACCTTTACTGAATGTAGTTAGTGTTGACTGAGAAAGGATCCCTGTGTTTTAACTTTATGATCTCTTGAGTTCTGGAGCTCCTTTCTGGTTTTCAGCATCTGCACCAGTGATATTGAACTCCAAGGATTTATGCTCTTACAGCACTTAACAGATTTCACCTGGTGCTAGTGACCGTAAATGACCATGTTCACCTTAATTTGGTAGCAGATTAAGCTGTTGCACAGAACGGTTGTCTAGTTTAAAACAAAAGCACTGATACTTAATGGAAGCATTCAAGGACTGTATGGATTGGTAATGGAGAAGAAAAATACTGCTCGATAAGTGGATTGGTAATGGAGAAGAAAAATACTGCTTGATAAGTACTTTCATAGAATCATTCAGGTTGGAAGAGACCCTTGGGATCATCGAGTCCAACCATCAACCCTACTCTACAAAGTCCTCCCCTACACCATATCCCCCAACACCACATCTAAACGTCCCTTAAACACACCCAGGGATGGTGACTCAACCCCCTCCCTGGGCAGCCTGTTCCAATGCCCGACCACTCTTTCTGTGAAAAATTCCTTCCTAATGTTCAGTCTAAACCTACCCTGTTGGAGCTTGAAGCCGTTCCCTCTTGTTCTGTCACTTCACCTGTGAAGTGCCTGAACCCAGGAAGTTATCAGCTAATAGTTTCATAAAACCATCTAGTAAAACTTAAGACACTTCAAAACATGTAATAGTGTGGACTTTTTATCCTCCTCCAATGAGATAATTAAGCTGACCAGGGAGAGTTTAACATTGCCAAGTTCTCAACGAGCAAATTCCAGTCCATTGCTCTTAGCTTCTGATTTCTGCAGTTTACAGTTTGGAAGGATTCTTCTCTCCCTGGCTCTGCTTACTTTGTAGCTGATTACTTCCTGAAGAATATCACCTTATCTGCTTCAACAGCTTCTGAAAACCTCTGGGATGCCTGGATGCTGGGAAATGGTGATGGGAGATACTAGCTGAGCTTTCCATTGTGATTCCTCTTTTGATGCTGATCGTAGCTGGGTCTGACTCTGGCCTAAATCAGTAAGGTCTTCAGTGGTGAAAGAAGGCTCAGTTTCTCTCCTTCTGGCTCTGTCTCCTCAGCTGCACTGATCTCACCGAGGGGCAGGAACTCGAGGTGAGGGCAGTTTGAGTTCGCTAGGGCAATGAAGAACAAGCTGCCTCTGGCTTTTACCCACTGCTGGAGCATGGAGGCTCTGGTTGGAGCCACCTCCACTCTGTGCAGAGAGTTTGAGGGTGGGAAGGGGTAAGAGATGTTAAAGCAGAACTGGTAGGACCCTACAGAGAAGCAGAAATGGGGACTGTAATAGCGTAAATGCTTACTTAAATTCAGTGAAGCAAGCTGGAATTATCTAGAATTGCTGGGCAGTGGTACCAGTATATTGCTCATCTGGTAATTGTTCATCATACTGCTAGTCTGTCTCACCTCCCAAGCTGAGAGAAGAGAAAGCAGACCAATATCCAACCAATATTTACATGTACATGGTATACTTTTATATTTTTTTTTTAAAACCTCTTCCTCCATCTTTTTTTTTTTTTCTCCATGGTTCTAACTCTCCTCCCCTGCCTTTTTCTGTTAGGCAAAAGGAGCAGATGAAAAGGGAAAATGGAGGGAAGGAAGTAAATGAAAAGCTTCTCTTCCACGGAACCAAGACCTCCTTTGTGGAATCCATCTGTGTTCACAACTTTGACTGGAGAATTTGTGGAAGCAATGGAACTAGCTATGGAAAGGGTACGTAGGAAGTGACTCTGTGTGCTAAACATCTACTTAGACTCCCCTGTTGCAAGAGCAATAGAAGTTTTGAAGTCTTTAACCACTGAGGGTGAAAAAAAGTAGTACAGAATTGGTTTTATGCTCTTCCTTCCCTCTGGAGAGGGGAAGAATTTGCTTGGTGCAGGAGTAAGTCTTTTCACAAGGTCTTAAGCGAATTAATATAGGGATTTGAAACAGCCTGTGTTGCTGAGGTGGGACCTTCTGAAGGCGCAAGGTCATAATTTGAACTTGCCAGAGAACTGGCTGCTGGTCTTCATGGCAGGGAGCAAGAAGGTTGTGCATTCCCTCAAGTGTGATTGTGGAAGGTCCTTGTGTTTTCTTGTCTATCCCTCTCATCATAACACACACACCTGTAGTGTTTTTATATGTTTTGGGTTTTTTTAAAATTATTCCTTAAATAGCAAATTCTGAATGGAAATTCTGTGGTGAAATCCTTTCTCTTGTAAATATTTCTATGGTACTATGTAAAGTGAGTAAGAGGAGACCTGAAAGTTGGGTCAGATACCTCCTAAAAAGCAAGGGGACGCTCAGTTTTCACCATCACTTTATACATATTCCTCATAACCGTGTCTCCATCTCATTTTCTAGGAAGTTACTTTGCAAGAGATGCTTCCTACTCCCACGCATACTGTCAGTCTACAGTGAAAACAAACACCATGTTCGTGGCTCGTGTATTGGTTGGAGATTACGTTCGAGGCAACGCAACCTACGTTCGCCCCCCGGCAAAGTCTGCTGATGGGCTTCGGTTTTACGACAGCTGTGTGGACAATCAGTTAAACCCCTCCATTTTTGTTGTCTTTGAAAAATACCAGATTTACCCGGAGTATATGATAGATTATAAGGAGGAAGAAAAATGTATTGTATCTTAGAGAAATCAGAGCTGTTTGTATTGCTCATTTTCACTAGTGCAGGTGTTCTCATATTTGGTGACTTCTTTAATACAATCCTTTGGGATGTTAATCCAAAGAATTTCTGTATTGAGGAGGGTTGGCAAAACGGATGTTATGTGTGTTGAGACTAATTGCCTTGTCTTCCTCTCTTAAGTAAGCCTAGACACTTGGGTAACCGTAGCAGAAAAATCAGTCATGGGATGGGAAATCAAATGTTACGACTTCTGTGGGCAAATATCTGTAAATGCACTTCTTTAGAAATCGAGAGGATTTCTCTTTGTGAACAGTTCACTTAGGGGGAAAATTAAGACTTTAGTAGTTCTTAAGCAAACTGTCAGGTTTTTAGTAGTCAGAGATTCTTTTCAGTCCAGAATATGGCTGTTCTTGATCTATTCGTCTACCACAATTCTAAATGAGTCAGCGTATGTAAGAATGACAAAACTGAGTTTTCAAAGTTCTGCTTCTTAATGCTGATACTAGTTTCAAGTTTAAAATGAGAAAACAAAAAATATAAAAAACTTATTTTAAATCTGTATCATAAGTTCTCAAGTCAAGAAGTTTCATCTGTACAATGGCAGTTAACGGTTTGGATCAGAAAATTGTTGGATCAGATTCTTTTCACGGATCTGCAGTAACTTGCTTTGTAACCTGTAGAAAAATAGAGCTCAAACGAAACTGTGAAAGTAATAAGCTATGAATAAGCAGGTACTAAAATTTGGCATTTTGGCTGCAACTAATGGCCCTCAGTGCAGAAAGGCCACGGGTCATGGTTTAGCCCCAGCTGGCAGCTTAGGGCCACGTAGCTCCTCACTCGCTCCCCCCATGGTGGGATGGAGAAGAGAATCAGAAAAGTAAAAATGAGAAAACGCGTGGGTTGAGATAAAGACAGTTTAACAGGTAAAGCAAACGCCGCGCACCCAAGCAAAGCAAAACAAGGAGTTCATTCACCCCTCCCCATTGGCAGGCAGGTGTCCAGCCATCTCCAGGGCCCCATCACACATGAGGGTAACTTGGGAAGACAAAACACCATCGCTCCAAACGTGTCCCCCTCTTCCTCCTTCTTCCCCAGCTTTATACGCAGAGCATGATGTCACCTGGTACGGAATATCCCTTTGCTCAGTTGGGGTGAGTTGTCCTGGCCGTGTCCCCTCCCAGCCCGCTCCTTGGCAGGGCGGCGTGAGGAGCAGAGAAGGCCTTGACTGCCTGGCAATAACCAAAAACAGCAGTGTGCGATCATCTCTGGTCCTCATCCCAAATCCAAAATATAGTCCCAGGCCAGCTGCTAGTAAGAAAGCGACCTCTATCCTGGCCAAAACCATGACACTATGTCACAACGAGCTAGCCTTTCAAGTGAAGGGGACCACGTATTTTCTCAACGTGAACATTCTCCTGGCCAAAACCATGACACTATGTCACAAGCTAGCCTTTCAAGTGAAGGGGACCATGTATATTCTCAACATGAACATTTGTTCAGCAAATGCAATAGGACAGGAGAAACATCTTAAGAAGCATTGATATTTTCTGTCCTATTGGTATAGACTTAATTTTCGTTTTTCTGGAAGTACGACGTGGCTGGAAGGGACCAGTTATGTTCTCTAGAGGCCAGTAGTAGAACTGCTGTCTGAAACACTTTGTCTCCGTGTTTGATTGTCCACATTGCGTTGGGCAACTCGCTGGGAACTCGCTGACAAGTGTAGTTCCTCCTTGCATTTTGAGGTCGCTGTGGGTGATCCTGGGTATGGCTTCCTTGGGTCTGTTTTTCAATAACACTGTCTGTGATGTACACCCTTGCTAACTGTGATTAAGACCTTTTTTTATTAAGTTAAATGCTTTCTATTGTCCCAAAAAGAAAATCTAGAAACTCTTAGAGAATTTCTACTGAATTTTAATATGGAGTTTGTAAGTGAATAGAACTTGAAGATGTCTTATTCGGGCACTCAGGATGACCTGCTCCATGACCTTCCCTGGTATCGAGGTCAGGCTGACAGGTCTATAGTTTCCTGGATCCTCCTTTTTGCCCTTCTTGTAGATGGCTGTTACATTTGCCACCCTCCAGTCCATGGGGACCTCCCCACTCAGCCACCACTTCATGTGCGTGATGGAACGCGGTTTGGCGACCACGTCTGCCAACTCTTCAGCTCTCTTGGGTGTAGCCCACCCGGCCCCACAGACGTGTGTCCATCCCAGTGGTGCAGCAGGTCCCTCATCTCCTCCTCTGTAATTGTGATGCCCTCACTCTGCTTCCCCTCCCTGTCTCCTCGCTCACCAGGCCGGGTGTCCAGGGAACAGCCAGTGCCGCTGCTGAAGGCCGAGGCAAAGCAGGCGTTGAGCACCTCGGCCTTTTCCTCTGCATCCAATAAAGGAGGGAGATTTTCCCTAATCCTCCTTCTGTTGTTAATGAATCCAGGAACAGCCGCGCACCCAAGCAAAGCAAAACAAGGAGTTCATTCACCCCTCCCCATTGGCAGGCAGGTGTCCAGCCATCTCCAGGGCCCCATCACACATGAGGGTAACTTGGGAAGACAAAACACCATCGCTCCAAACGTGTCCCCCTCTTCCTCCTTCTTCCCCAGCTTTATACGCAGAGCATGATGTCACCTGGTACGGAATATCCCTTTGCTCAGTTGGGGTGAGTTGTCCTGGCCGTGTCCCCTCCCAGCCCGCTCCTTGGCAGGGCGGCGTGAGGAGCAGAGAAGGCCTTGACTGCCTGGCAATAACCAAAAACAGCAGTGTGCGATCATCTCTGGTCCTCATCCCAAATCCAAAATATAGTCCCAGGCCAGCTGCTAGTAAGAAAGCGACCTCTATCCTGGCCAAAACCATGACACTATGTCACAACGAGCTAGCCTTTCAAGTGAAGGGGACCACGTATTTTCTCAACGTGAACATTCGTTCAGCAAATGCAATAGGACAGGAGAAACATCTTAAGAAGCATTGATATTTTCTGTCCTATTGGTATAGACTTAATTTTCGTTTTTCCGGAAGTACGACGTGGCTGGAAGGGACCAGTTATGTTCTCTAGAGGCCAGTAGTAGAACTGCTGTCTGAGACACTTTGTCTCCGTGTTTGATTGTCCACATTGCGTTGGGCAACTCGCTGGGAACTCGCTGACAAGTGTAGTTCCTCCTTGCATTTTGAGGTCGCTGTGGGTGATCCTGGGTATGGCTTCCTTGGGTCTGTTTTTCAATAACACTGTCTGTGATGTACACCCTTGCTAACTGTGATTAAGACCTTTTTTTATTAAGTTAAATGCTTTCTATTGTCCCAAAAAGAAAATCTAGAAACTCTTAGAGAATTTCTACTGAATTTTAATATGGAGTTTGTAAGTGAATAGAACTTGAAGATGTCTTATTCGGGCACTCAAGATGACCTGTTCCATGACCTTCCCTGCTGGATCCTCCTTTTTGCCCTTCTTGTAGATGGCTGTTACATTTGCCACCCTCCAGTCCATGGGGACCTCCCCAGTCACCACTTCATGCACGTGATGGAACGCGGTTTGGCAAGCACGTCTGCCAACTCTTCAGCTCTCTTGGGTGTAGCCCACCCGGCCCCACAGACGTGTGTCCATCCCAGTGGTGCAGCAGGTCCCTCATCTCCTCCTCTGTAATTGTGATGCCCTCACTCTGCTTCCCCTCCCTGTCTCCTCGCTCACCAGGCCGGGTGTCCAGGGAACAGCCAGTGCCGCTGCTGAAGGCCGAGGCAAAGCAGGCGTTGAGCACCTCGGCCTTTTCCTCTGCATCCAATAAAGGAGGGAGATTTTCCCTAATCCTCCTTTTGTTGTTAATGAATCCAGGAACGTTTTTTATTATCCTTAATGGCTGTCGCCAGGTTGAGCTCCAGCTGCGCTTTGGCTCTCCCAGTTTTCTCCCTGCAGAGCTTCACTGCCTCTTTACGGCCTTCGGGAGAGGCCTGTCCCCTCTTCCAAAGGTTGTAGGCTCTCCTCTTGTTTCTGAGATCCAGCAGAAGGTCCCTCTTTAGCCAGGCTGGTCTCCTTCCTCGCCTCCTTGTTTTTTGGCACACGGGGACAGCTGCTCCTCTGCCTTGGAGACTTCTTTCTTGAAGTATGTCCAGCCTTCCTGGACTCCTCTACCCTTCAGGGCAGCCTCCCAAGGGATTTGGGCTGGCAGTGCTCTGACAGCTCAAAGTTTGCCCTCAGGAAGTCTAAGGTGGCAGTTTTAGTAACCCCTCTCCTTGTTTCTCCAAGGATGGAGACCTCAATCATCTCATGGTCCCTGTGCCCTAGACGGCCTCCAACCTTTACTTCCCCCACAAGTTCTTCCCTGGTCACAAGCAGCAGGTCCAGGAGGGCACTTTCCCGGGTCAGCCCACTTACCAGCTGCGTGAGGAAGTTCTCCTCCACACACTCTAGGAACCTCCAGGACTGTTCCCTCTCTGCTGTGTTGTATTCCCAGCAGATATCTGGGAAGTTGAAGTCCCCCACGAGAACGAGGGCGAGTGATTGCGACTCTGCCAATTGCTGATAGAATATTTCCTCAATTTCTATGTCCTGGTTTGGGGGGGTCTGTAATGAACTCCCATCACGGTATCCACCTTGTTGGCCTTCCCCTTGAGTCTGACCCATGAACACTCTACACCATCATTCCCACTATTAACTTCCAGGCATTCCAATGTGTCTCTAACACAGACCTCAATCATCTCATGGTCCCTGTGCCCTAGACGGCCTCCAACCTTTACTTCCCCCACAAGTTCTTCCCTGGTCACAAGCAGCAGGTCCAGGAGGGCACTTTCCCTGGTCGGCCCACTTACCAGCTGCGTGAGGAAGTTCTCCTCCACACACTCTAGGAACCTCTAGGTCCCTCTCTGCTGTGTTGTATTCCCAGCAGATATCTGGGAAGTTGAAGTCCCCCACGAGAACGAGGGCGAGTGATTGCGACTCTGCCAATTGCTGATAGAATATTTCCTCAATTTCTATGTCCTGGTTTGGGGGGGTCTGTAATGAACTCCCATCACGGTATCCACCTTGTTGGCCTTCCCCTTGAGTCTGACCCATGAACACTCTACACCATCATTCCCACTATTAACTTCCAGGCATTCCAATGTGTCTCTAACACAGAGGCCACCCCACCACCTCTCCTTCCTTGCCTGTCCCTTCCGAAGAGTTGGCAGCCATCGACTGCAGAGCTCCAGTTGTGCAAGTCTTCCCACCACCTTTCTGGGATGGCAACTATATCATGGTTTCCCTGCTGTAAGTTAATTAATGCTGTAAGTTACCAAGAGGACAGGGAAATACATAAAACCAGGAAACCTTATTAAAAACACTTAGAACTAAAGGAAAACGTGTCAGTAATGCGTTAAAAGGGGAAGATTTTACAACTTTTTAAGCTCTCTCTCACTTTTGTTTGCCTGTAGAGTTCCCGAATCGTTGAGTTTTACCATATTTGCAAGTAAAATGTGTTTAATCGTGGAGTTTTTCTGTATTTGCAAATAAAATGTGATTTTACTTACATTTTGCTTGTTAGTGTGTGGTTTGTCTTGACGTAAATTTCTGGTATAACGAAACAGCACTAGTGCACTGGCCACTTAATAGAGGTTCAGTGGCTTCTTTCCATCTCTGGTTCTAAACCAGGGAATTGCACGGATGCAGTTTTGCATTTTAGTGCGGGTGTTTAGCTAAGTATGAAGGAAAGAATACAGTCTGGTACCTGGGGAATATTTCTGTAAATAAACTTCCTAAGAAAGTCACTCTTAATACCTTAATATGAAGGGGGCTACAGGAGAGATGGGGAGGGACTCTCTTTATCAGGGAGTGGAGCAACAGGACGAGGGGTGATGGTTTTAAACTGAAAGAGGGGAGATGAGGCTCTTGACTCTTGGCTGCCTTCTTTTGTTTTCCTGTCTTTGAGTGAATAACCACTTCTCGTGTCTCAAACACGGAGCCCACAGAATGGCATCACAGAATGTGTTATAAGCAGCACCCTTGTAAATATCTGGAAAAAAACCAAAAACCCAACTCTTAGGAAGTTGGTTGCAGCTAGTTTGCTTAGAACAACGTGTAGCCCAGATGCAATCCTGGCAGTCAGCAGCTGTCTTACTCATGTCTCCTCCATCCATCCTGCCCAAAACTCTTCAAGTATTAAAGACAGAGTGTGTTTTGTGGTATCTCTCTGTGAAATGGAAAGGCGTGAGCAGAGTTCCCTACCCCTGTGAGGCTCTGGGGCTTTGGTTTGTTTCCTGGCACAGTCAGGCCTCTGCAATTAAAAAAAAAAAAAACACAAAAAAAACTGATCGGTGACAAAGCTGAAAAGGTGGAAGCTGTGAACGTGCAGCCACGTGGCACGGTTGTTCTTTGGGTCCTTGCATCTCAAAGAGAAGGCAGCCACAGGTGGGAGTCTGCAAGACAAATGCAGTGCCACTTTTTGGACAAGCCTCACTCTTGCCAAGTGTTGCTGTGGCCTGTGAAGACTGCACGGTGGCTGTACACAGGTGGGCACAAGGGCTGCTCTAAAAGTCTTGGTCAGTAGCTCTGCACGCAAAGAAGTTAAAGAGGCTGTCACTTGAGGAGGCTCCTGCAGCTGATGAAGGCCTTCATTTTCGTATTTGAAAAGATTTATATGTAGCATGGTCCTTGGTGAAGCTCTTCCTTTCCTGGTCTTCTTCCCCCTGAGCTACCTGCTTGTTAATTATTTTGCATAATGGTAATTGAAAACAGTTCAGCCATAGCACAGTAAAGCAAGACAGAATGATTTGAGTATTTCAGACACGAATAAGGGGAAGATAAGGCAGAAAAACAGAAGATCTCATCTATGGGCAAAATGTGTAGTACCAGTTGAATGAAAAAGCTTCTAGTCATGTTCATGAAAGAAAAGAGGACATATAGTGTTATGGGTTTAGGAAATTAAGCTGAATAACCTGTTTAAAAGCTTCACGCATACAGGCAGAGAAGTCACAGACTTGCAGCTCAACTGAGCACTCTTTAAAATTTATTGATGTAAAGCAGACAAAATCCTCAACCACATTATATCAAAAGTACTACAAGTGTCATTCTTAAATTTGTGTAGCAATGGATCACGTGAACTACAACACGTCATGAACAGGCAGCAGATTTCTCAGGCTTTTCTTCCCTTATAAAAGGTGTGTTACATTCCTGGAGTAAAAAGTTACCTGGCTAAAGTCATTGCTTGAAATGCGCTGATTAAAATAATAGTAAAAATGTTGGAGAACTTCAGCACAGAGCGAGCCCATCACAGACAGGGCTGGACAGCAGTGAGGAAGCTGAAGAACAGGTATTTATGACTGTGCAGGTTTCAAAAGGCTGCACACAAGGAAGCAATACCCTTAGCTGGTTTCAAAAATGATCATTGATTCATTGATTTCATATTAAACTATTTTTTCCTCAAGGCAGGGCTGGGGGAAGGGTTGCAGCAAGCTGCTTCCACATCTTACTCCTCTATGCAGGAACTCCAGGGGTGGTGCAGGGCCAGCTACGAAAGTGCTTTTTCAGGTCAAAAGGAAACTGTATGAGGGATGGGGCTGCTGTGGGACACGGGGAAGAGCCTGAGCTGGACAGGCAGGTGTTTGTGTCCCAGAGAGCTTGCAGATGTGATACCAGAGCTTGGGCAGTTGAAGAGTGTGGCATTTCCATTCAGGTAAAAGAAGAAGAGGCGTTAGTTCATTTTTGGTTTGAAATACCCTCTTTCCCTTCATTAAGGATTTCTGTTGCAAGGCAATCTGTTGGCTCGGCTACGCTCCAGCAATCCAAAGGCACCAGAATTTCAGAGAGTTACACGGCTCATATTGTGCCTCATTTGCAGCACCAAAATTTGTCACATCACTTGTGCCGGGACAAAGCTTTGTACAGGTTCCCTGTAGCTCTTTACCTGTGGCAGAACCTCCCTTCCAGTCTTCGCCTCCTCTGAGATATAGCCCTATAAAGTGCACACTTTAACACTGGTTTTAAACTTTGGTAACACGCAGGGACTCGTGCTACTGAGTAGTAAGGCCTGACTTTCCAAAAGCTCAGGTAAGCACAAAGACACCGGTCTAAACTACCATTCAGAGATGGCACTGTTTTAGCTGAAACCCAGGCTTTTTCTTTTTTTTTTTCCTGAAAGATGTGAAAATGCCAAGGGAGTACCCATGTTAGAATAGTGGCAGTCAGCTATTATCCCTCGTTGGGTTTCATTCACATAGTAATTTCAGAAAGGTCCGAGGTGCTATATTGAAAGGAAAAAGTTTAACATTTCATGGGAGGAACTTTAAAAATATGCACCTGGAAAGAGATCCTGAATGGAGACCCATCTGTAATGCCAGTCTCTGACTCATGCCTGAATGGACTGGAAGCTTGATATGGAATTCAGTTGATGCCTGTATTGGCTCTAGCCCCGTACTTTCCTATTAGCTATGTTTAAAAGGCCCATTTGAATTATCTGAGCAGTTTACTGATTATTTAACATATTAACAAAGTAACAAATTGGGCCAATGAATGATTGAAATCCAGGCACTGTTACTGTACTGTATCTAATCAGGGTCAGAGGGAACCTTCAGGAAAATATACCAGAAAAAGCAGCGTCCCAGGATCCTTCAGAAAGCTGTGCATTATCAGCAGGTTATTGTCTTTTTTTCCCTTGTGGAATCATCTAAGATACAACCTCCTGCAATACAACAGCTGTATAGTTTTTTTTAAAGAAATCATCATCGGATCTCTGATTCACTGGGTACTCTTACCTACTATGAATCTCTAGCATGGTTTACTAGAGATTACTAGAGATTAGACTGGCTTTACTCCCTGTGCCCAGCCTTTGCTTGGAAAACTTATTGCTGTTTCAGCTGAAGCACAGGGGAAAACCTTATGCCATTGAATGAACAGTTGCTGCCTTCCTCATAAGTCGCTCCGTCATTGGGGAGTTTGGCCTCATCCCATCACGTTCTCTCAGGAGGCACCTGAGAAAAGAGGAGAGGTAGGAGAGAAATGAGAAGGTGGTCGTGACCACAACATCAATTTTCCCCCGAGATCACCAGCAGTATTGTAAGAGGAGGAAATGAGTAACCAAAAGGCCTGCTCTCGAGGTGCAGATTTCCCTCATTTGGCCTCGGCGCTCAGTTTAGGCAGAACAGTGTTCTTTTCAGCACTGATAGAGACTGAACGTGAGCACCCAGAGATGAGAGCGCACAGAATAATTCTGTTATTTTGCTTAATTTTTATATATTTCAAAGAGACCCCAGGAGGTGAACAGGCAAGGCTTCGTATTGTCCCAAGGGTCCATTCTTTAAAGCGCGCAGGCAGCCCCCGTCGATGCATTTCAACAGAACTCAGTATGGGGCAACGAACAACATCTATGATTTTTACACAACAAGGTTCTTGTGATTTGTAGTAAGGCAAGATCAGGCCTTACTACTTACTACTCAGTACTTACTACTCAGGCCGTACTACTTACAAGATCTCCACATCTTATTTACCAATAAAGCACACGTCATCATTAGGATATACTTGATTTTTTAGCAGTTCAGACATTTAGCAGTCCACTTAGTCCACTGAGGAACAGGCAGGAGGCCACATTTTAATCATAGAATCATAGAGTTGCCCAGGCCAGAAGGGACCTCCAAAGGCCATCTAGTCCGACCCCCCCGCAGTCAGCAGGGACCCCCCCAACTAGACCAGGTTGCCCAGGGCCTCATCGAGCCTCTCCTTGAATATCTCCAGGGAAGGGGCCTCAACCACCTCCCTGGGCAACCTGTTCCAGTGCTCCACCACCCTCACAGTGAAGAACCCTCTCCTCATCTCCAGTCTAAATCTGTTCCCCTCCAGCTTGAAGCCATTGCCCCTCGTCCTGTCACTGCAGGCCTTTCTAAACAGGTTCTCCCCAGCCTTCCTGTAGCCCCCTCAGGTACTGGAAGGCTGCTATTAGGTCTCCCCGGAGCCTCCTCTTCTTCAGGCTGAACAACCCCAGCTCCCTCAGCCTGTCCTCGGAGCAGAGGTGCTCCATCCCCCTGATCATCCTCGTGGCCCTCCTCTGGACCTGCTCCATCAGGTCCATGTCTTTCCTATATTGAGGGCTCCAGACCTGCACACAATACTCCAGGTGAGGTCTCACCAGAGCAGAGTAAAGTGGCAGAATCCCCTCTCTGGACCTGCTGGCAACGCTTCTTTTGATGCAGCCCAGGATGGGATTGGCCTTCTGGGCTGCAGCTGCACACTGCCTGCTCATGTCCAGCTTCTCCTCCACCAGCACCCCCAAGTCCCTTTCCTCAGGGCTGCTTTCTAATACCATACCTCATTTTAAGCCAGAACCATTTGAAAATCAACTGCCCTTGAACAAATACAGATCGTTCATCCAGACTCTAAGACTGTACTTTTGGAACTGGAAGCTATGTTACTTTTAATCCTAGTAAATGTTGCTACATTTAACACAAATGCTGCACATAATTTTAGCCTTAATTTAGGGGTTTGAATACACTCACTACTTACTTCTAGTAACAGCACTACTTCCACAAATACTTATCAGGAAAAATGCTCACCTCGCAAGGTTTCGTTTGGCTTGTGATTTAGAATTTAAAGCAGCATGAATCAATAACTGGCTGAAAACATCTCTCTGAAAAAAAAAAAAGTGAGCAAAAATACAAAGTAATAAGTAACTTATAAAATATTGCTGGTTACAATGTCTTGTTTACCAAATTATTAAAACCACTGTGGAAGGAAACATATCACCAAGAGAAATTAACTAGCTAACTGCTAAAAAGTGCTTGCAAACAGGATTCAGTCACAAGCACAGTTTAGCTTTTCACTTTCTAACAACAAAGTGGTGTTAATAATGTAAGTGCCTAATGGAGGCTACTGGAAGAGGATTAAGTCAGATCAAAAAGTCTTTTCTTGATCTCCTTTACCTGAGCATTACTGCCTCCTACTTGGACTAGTTGATAACGGATGGGGTACAGCAGGTCTACAGCTTTATCACAGTTTCCATTTTCAAACTCTACAAAAGCCTGGCACAGCGGCAACCCCAAACTGGGAGCCAGGGAAAGCTCATGGTCTTCACAAGGTGCTCTGTAGAACGAGAAAGTGGTTAACTCCTGTAAGTCAAATTATAAATAAGCACATTTTATTGCTAGTCGGTCACTGCCTGCAGATAGATATTTTTTTTTTCTACAAAAAAACAGCAAACAGCTCACCACAAAGTACAGTGTCTCCATGTCTTTGTAATACAAACCATATTCCAAATGACAGTTCTCAAAGTCTGCTCTTTTATTCTAACCACGACAGACTGCTTTTAGGCCCATAAACAGGAATGGATTTTAGCTAGCTCTTAAGTTTTTTTGGTTTGGTTTTTTTAATCACTTTTTTATTCTCAGTGCTTGTATCCTAACTCATTTAAGAGTAGAAGAGGCATAGAGCATGACAATCTGCCTGCAGAAGAAAGTATACATTCCAGCAGGCATCCTTGCCAATATTAAAAAAAAAAGTAAAAATACAAGTAACCAAACTGTAGCTCTTTGGTTGATAGGCAAGACCTGCAGAGGACACCATGGAATTGCGTTTTTCCACTGCTACAGAAGGAGCTTACAGCAATCAGATCTTGGAGGTCATGTCATTTCAGTGCCAAAAGGCTGCCTGGCAACAGGAGGACTTTCTATCCCAAGCAAATATAAATTATTCCTGAGAATACAGTGTTCAATGCTATAAATTTCATCTATTGTTTAGAACAGATTTTTCTGTAAATTTTGCAATTAAATCTTTAAAACTGAGGAACCCTAGTCACTGGCTTCTGTTTTGAGAGCTTGCAATGACAGCTGAGACTCGCACTCCCACACCTGTACCTTAAATTTATGAAACACAGAGCATAGTCTGTGCTCTCCTCCTTGAGCATTAATAATTGCCTGTTTCTTCTTGATTTTTCAGTATGCAGTGTTAATGAAACACAGAGCATAGTCTGTGCTCTCCTTCTTGAGCATTACTAATTGCCTGTTTCTTCCACTAGGTCAACGTTGATTTTTCAGTATGCAGTGTTACCCTATGTGTTTATCATTCCTTAAATAAAATACGGCATCCTGGAAAAGTCAGAAGTGCACAAGAGATGTGCGTGATAAGTAAGCAGTTGGAGATGGTTAATGATAGAATCATAGAATCATAGAATTGCCCAGGCCGGAAGGGACCTCCAAAGGCCATCTAGTCCGACCCCCCCGCAGTCAGCAGGGACACCCCCAACTAGACCAGGTTGCCCAGGGCCTCGTCGAGCCTCTCCTTGAGTATCTCCAGGGAAGGGGCCTCAACCACCTCCCTGGGCAACCTGTTCCAGTGCTCCACCCCCCTCACAGTGAAGAACCCTCTCCTCATCTCCAGTCTAAATCTGTTCCCCTCCAGCTTGAAGCCATTGTCCCTCGCGGAGCCTCCTCTTCTTCAGGCTGAACAACCCCAGCTCCCTCAGCCTGTCCTCGTAGCAGAGGTGCTCCATCCCCCTGATCATCCTCGTGGCCCTCCTCTGGACCCTCTCCATCAGGTCCATGTCCTTCTTATATTGAGGGCTCCAGACCTGCACACAATACTCCAGGTGAGGTCTCACCAGAGCAGAGTAAAGTGGCAGAATCCCCTCTCTGGACCTGCTGGCAACGCATCTTTTGATGCAGCCCAGGAAGTGATTGGCCTTCTGGGCTGCAAGTGCCCACTGCCTGCTCATGTCCAGCTTCTCCTCCACCAGCACCCCCAAGTCCCTTTCCTCAGGGCTGCTTTCCAATCCCTCACCCCCCAGTCTGTATTGGTAGTGAGAATTGTTCTGGCCCAGGTGCAGAACCTTGCATTTGCTCTTGTTGAACCTCATGAGGTTCACCTGGGCCCACCTCTCCAGAAGGATGAAAATGATGAAACAATTCTTCATTTAAAAATTTGTTCCACATCTCTGAGAAAATACAGAGAGATGGAAGACTGAAATATTTTTTTTTTTTTGCTCTCTCTTGCAACTGAAGTGTTGATTCATGAAAAACAACATACCCCCTGCATTAACTGACATTTCCAGCCACGAAAATATGGCTGTGATACCAACCACCAGAGAGCGCCGTGGAATGCTTTACCAAAAAAAAAGATTCTTGCCAATTTCAAATTTCAAAGGCTAAGGAAAAACAGCAATGAAAAGCCAAGAATGACTGTTGTTTATGTCAAAGTTTTATATGTGCTTTTTTAACAATGCAACTTAGTTACCATTTAGCTATTACATATTCATGCTGCACATAAATTAATCTATTAAGCCCATCATTAATACAATCCCTTCATCTGTCTTTTTTCTCAGATCAAAATTAAGCTTTATAATACTTCAAACTACAGCTAAAAATGCACAGCTGTATTACTACAAAAGGCTGACCACATGGGCCAAAGGTAGCACTGGGTGAGGGGATAAGTAGCAGTCATTAATGCTTCCCTGACATGGTGTGCACCTGCAGTTTGATACATACTTACATATATTTATATACTTACATATATTCACCATTTCCTACTTTAGTCAAATCAGACACACTTAAGGCTTGATTTGACAGTTGTTTGCATAAATACTTTTAAAAATTACATCAATTTTTTATTATTTTTGTTTGTCACTTTTTGTTCCTAGCTATAATGCCCATCAATTTCAGGTTCTCCTTCCTTCTTTTTTAAAAATAGCAATAAATGCTGAAACAGGGGGGGGAAATTTGTATTGCTTCAGCAAGCCAGACATCTTACCACCCTGAAGTTCAAAGGACAAAATATTTATTGAATACTTTAATTCACTTGCTTACTTGGCAAGTTCCTGAAGAGTTGTTAAAAGCTCATCAGTAGCTTTGTGGTCTTTGGCTCCAAGTGAGGACATCAAGACGTGTACATCATTGAACAGAAGAATGTGATCTTTGGTGTGCTGCTTTGTGAGCTTGAGAACGTTGTTCCACCTGTCTCCAAGCTTTACACCTGACAGTAAAAAAAAAATATTTTTCTCAATAAAAACACCACATGCAAAAGCATGACTTTGCAATATACTTTCAGTCACCCAGCATAAACAGCATTCCTATTAAACTCAAGAAAACATTCCCTGATGTGGTAAAATTTAGAAAGCAATGCTCAGCTGCAGCCTGGCATATTTGGGCAAAGAGTTTATTGACTGTCCATAATTTATAACCAATATTCTAAATTGTGTTATGTGAGGTTCTGGCTTTATTACGAGATTATTCACGTCTTCTTGGAGATGATGTTCATAATGAACTGCCTGTAGCAATCAAATTATACAGAGTGATAAGATAGGTTTCATAAACAAACCCAATGCATCATTAGTGTTTCAGCAGGATACTGTGAAAATAATACTCTCCCCCTTTCATGAACTCAAGTGTATAAATACTCACAAGGAGAAATGCTACTTAGGAGAGCGCACAAAAGTCAGAGGCTTATACACATGTGCTAGCTATTTCAATCAGTATCAAAATAGACTAAGTATCTAAATTAAATTTACTTCAAGGAGGCTCTAAAGCATTTTAGAGGCTCATATACTTGATTGTCCAGCCTCAAATCTTCAGGGACAATACAAGTGAATTTGTCAAAAGAGAAATATATGACCTATGCTAGCCTGAGCTGAAGGGAATACCACAGTGGCATGGAAAAAAAAATTCTTGGGAAGAATAAAGGTTATGCACATTATTAGGAATATCCAATTGAGACTTTTCTCAAGAGCAGAATTTTCTTCTGTAACAAAAGATTTCTTCTGTAATACTGACCAAGCTTGTAATATATTTAATATATTTAAATACTTCTCCAACATGCAAGGCAGGGGAAAGGGACAAGCAAATCTGTGCCCCTTATAGTTTAAAAAAGCATGGCAGGTGGATATCCTACCTTCCAGATGAAGCCTGTACAGCATCGAGCAGTTGTCTACTATATCCAGCATGCTTCCACTCAACAGACACCGGGGAGCAATCTGTAATCACAGGTATTCATCAACTGCCCAACTGCTGTGCTAGTGAGAACTTATTCAGGTAATCAAAATTATTTTCACAGTACAAAATGAATTTTATCTTTTTATTCATTCGAAATACCTGTTTTGCAATAGCCCTCATTGCAGCACTTTGCAATGACAAACACTTACATTGCTTTACTTGTGTTGGTTTCCTTGCTATGAAGTTAAACTCTGTAAGTATGGAGAGTCACCAAGGTATTTTATTTTTTCAAAATAGTACCATAAATATTACTTCACTTTTTTGAGGTTAGCAGATAGGAGTCTGCCCTGTAGCTTTCTCAATCCTTGTATTAGTTGCATAATCCTTACAAAGATATGTTATCCTATCTCATTTGATATTCCTTATTTACAAAGATTGTTTTGAAATCCAGATGGTAAAGAGCTGTAATAATTTAACTAGGAATGAAAAGACATGCTTTTGTTGACTTCGTAGCTGACTCAGTTCTTTGTAAAGGTTTTACATCCTTTTATGTTACATCCTTTTAAAAAGCTTTATTTCAGCAGGACCATTTAGACCTGCAAAGCACGAGTACGACACACGGACAGAATGGGAAACAGTACCAGCAGTGCCATTGTAGCTCTTCAAAGCACAAGTGTAAGAAACACTTGAACTATATAATAACATGCGTGTCCTTTGGGCATTTTAACAGTTAAGAAACAGTTTCCCTACAAAAATTTTTTTTACTGAAAGGGTTATCAGACATTGGAATGGGCTGCCCAGGGAGGTGGTTGAGGCACCATCCCTGGAGGTGTTCAAAAGACGGGTTGATGTAGTGCTGGGAGGTATGGTTTAGTGATGATGCTCCTTGTTTGTTGTGTGGGTGTCTATTTTTGTCAGTGAGGTTGACGGTTGGACAAGATGATCTTTAAGGTCCCTTCCAACCTAGAAGATTCTGTGATTCTGTGAAAACTGTAACAACAGCTGAAAATAATATATATACATATATGGCACACCGTGATAGGTTTCAATCTTGCACAGAAGGAAGAAAGCATCTTAAACATTCTCAGTGAAGGAAAAAAGGCCCCTACTCACATGATTGTCATAGATTGTCAAAGCAGCTTCATATTCACCCTGTAAAAGCAAGTGAGGACTGTGTGATTAACATTCAGACACAGTAACCAAAAGGGACTGTACTAACCAAAGACATACCTACAATTAATAGATGTTTAGTTTGAGGAAGAGGAGGCTGAGGGGAGACCTCATCACTCTCTACAACTACTTGAAAGGACACCGTAGAGAGGTTGGTGCTGGGCTCTTCTCACAGGTAATTAATGACACAACGAGAGGGAATGGCTTCAAGCTCCAACAGGGGAGGTTTAGATTGAACACTAGGAAAGAATTTTTCACAGAAAGAGTGATCAGCTGGAACTGGAATAGGCTGCTCAGGGAGGTGGTTGAGTCACCATCCCTGGATGTGTTTAAGGGATGTTTAGATGTGGTGTTGGGGGACATGGTGTAGGGGAGAACTTTGTAGAGTAGGGTAGATGGTTGGACTCGATGATCCCAAGGGTCTCCTCCAACCTAGACAGATTCTATGATTCTATGTCATAACATTACTTCACAACTGCCTCATGACTTAGTCAAAACAATCCAAGTCAGAGAAACCTTGAGGTATTAAAAGAAAGAAGGAAGCCTAAGATAAACCAGGATTTACTTAGGCAAAATAATCAGTGTGGCTAGGTTTATTTAATAATAGGTACCATGAGTAAGTTACACATAAAGACAAGGTATTACCTCTCAATTCTAATGTTCCTTTCAGGGATTTTTTGCAAAAATTAGTGCATCCCACAGTGTATGCGAAGACGTAGGAAGAAAAATAATTTTAAGCAGGCTACAAAAAAGTTGTACAGGTAGAAGGTGGCAAAATAAACAAGCTATTAGACTGCTGTCGAAAATTATGCTCCTTCTATGTTACTAATACAGAACACAAGCAAATTGCTCTGTTCTCAAGCACACTGCCTTCTCGAGGATGTCACATTTGTCTCCCTACTGAATTGAACCCCGCAAGTGCTAAGCACAATTAAATACAAGGAAATTCAGCATGGCAATTGGACAGGTTGGGTAAAATTGCAAGCAGTTTTAAAGTGTTTCAATAATAAGAATTAGCAACACTAATAATGAATAACATTGGTGACCACATTTAGAGCTCATTGCCTCTTCTTTATAGTCAGCAAATTTTTGGGCCAGCAAATTAGTATTGAATTTGAAGAGAATTTTATCTAATTCTTGTCTGAAAATTAGAGATCCAAGTCCATCTTTCTATGCCAAGTGTAATTAGTGAAACTCCTTGATCTTCAATCATGCAATAATCTCACAGCAATGTTTCAACATTCTAACAAAGATCATGTAACTTTGACCAATGTAATTAAAACTTCTCAAAATAATTGTAATAAAGGACTAGCTTGTAAAAATGGCATTGTGCTGTTTTTTAAAAACACCTCTTTAAATAGCTGGAAAAAAACCTGTAAATGTTAGGTCTGCCTTTTAAATAGCATTAGATGAGTGATAGATAAAACACCTATGTGAAAATACCTCCTACCTTTTCAATGAAGTATAAAGCCCAGTGCCAGTAATTATGGCAAGCGAGCATATCAATGTTCTGGAAAAAAAAAGAGTAGAGAAAATATTATTTACAAAATAACTTCCCGTTTAAACATATCTAGTCAGATTTCTGTCTTCAGCAAAACTGAGTACTTAATGAGACAGAAGAGACAAGAACTTTAAATCAACCAGCCAGGATACCTTCCCAATTGGTACATTTGCTTCTTGCAGCTATTCAGGGAGACACCTCAAAAACAATGTTTCCCCACGTCATTTTCCACAGAAGAATTTCAATTGCTTCAGAATTTACCCATTACACCATCTATAACAAGCGTGAGGTTTATCTCATCCAAAATTCAGGAATTTTGTCTAAAGTAACCTGGATAGATAGTGGAGAGAGATACCCACTTTATGAGGGCCATTCATCCCATCCGTCTAGACGTTCAGCTTAGACAGAGAGGAACTGCTTCTTTAACAGATGCTTTACTGTGGACCAGATACCCAAGGCATTGGCAGTTCACAAGATGAGATGAATATTTGCTGAACTGTACCAACTTTGCACTGTCCTTTTAGGCAAATCCTCTTCCCTGCCCTGTCCTTCCAGACAGTGTCATTGCAGTTCACTCTTGTGAGCGCACTGAGAATCGACAAACAGGAATGTAATTCCATAATCCTTTGGTGAAAATTGAAATACCAAAAAGGTTCGTCCCTCTCCTCTCATCCTCTCCCAGTGCTGTGGTTAACGTTCTCACAAGTGGAAAAAGCAACTTCTTAAAAATGGTGACAACTGTCAGGAAGCCCGAAGGTTCCCAGTGAATGTCAGAACTTTATGGTGCTAAGATAAACATTCTGGTAATCTTTACTTGCTTAATATTAAATCACAAACCAAACCTGAGCAACTGATGTAGTTAAGTGCTTGGATGATAATACCAAGGTTACTACCATACTACAATTCCAAATGTCATACAAACAAGAACATGGGATTACCTCACTGAATAAAACAAAACCCTTTTTCTGCTGCTGAGCTCTGAATGAGATTAAATTGCTGAAGGAGAATGAAGATTGCAGGTTACTAAATAAATAAAAGTAGGCTATGAGAACTCATTCCAACAGCTCATGAGAAAAAACATTCCTATTTAATACTAAACAGCACTAGCAGAGAGGTCTCCTCTGGCAAAACAATTTGCCCCTTTTGCTTTTGTGCTGAAATATACGTATAAAATAAATGCCACTTGATTTTGGTGGAGGGTGGTGGAGAAACAAAACTATCAAGTAAAGAAAACCTGTACCAAATCTTTGCTACTCTTATTTGGAAGGAGAAAGATCAATAAAAACAACATGAGGAGGCCAAATACTGTGGCAATACAGATAGATGATCCTGGTCATTAAATAAAAATTTAAAATTTAAAATCACCCAGCAAAATACAAGCAACTTTTTTAAATCCCTGAGAGAGACTTGCTGGTTTTTGATGCTCTTACATTTTAACGCTCTGTGTTCATGGTGGCTAAGATGAAAAATATTGCACAAAAGAAGCAATTATAAATATCACTATGACATCGGTCCTAAATCTTAACTATCTGCAACAAGCACAAAAGTATATCAAAGAATTCTACTTACTGAGCTTGCACTTTATTACTTTATTTTAGTTAGATAAAGGGTGTAAATGACAGAGGCATGCAACTATTTTAACGAAGAGTTCAAAAATTGATGCAAAAGTCAGCGATGGGGAGTTTTTAAAGCATCACCCAAACTGTCAGCCCCGTGCACCGCTGTTTCTTTAAAACTAATAGAACAAAGGACAAAATACTTTCTGAGAAATGACAGATATGAACCTCAATCAAGGGTTTTCTGCCTGCACTTCCAAGCTTGGTATCTTAACTTAAAGAAACAAGGGCAAAATAAACAGTCCTTCTAACCTCATTTTCCAGCCCTGCTCTTTGGGTGAGATGGAAAGGTCAGCTCAGATGACTCTAAAATAGACTCTTACAGGTTCTAACAAATTCAAACTTCTCAGCCTTCTACTTTGAATATGACACACACAATCATTGGGAAAACACATGCTGTCCAACACAAATACAAATTACAGCAGAGGACGATATTACTGACTAATTAAGCTGTTCAATACTCTGAGATATACTAAAATTTGCTGGAAATACAAAGCAACTCCAGTACACTAAAAGAGAAAAAAGCATCATTTCACTTTTCATTACAGTTGACCTTTAAAAATCCCATCTGATGTTTCACCTCTCTGCAATGGCCATGTAAAATACCTAACCAGTTCCATCAGGAAAAAGAAACTAGCAGGGAGAGGGGGGTGTGCGTGCACATGCACGTACAAACCACGCACTTGCTGAAAAGAGTGTTCATTACAATATTCCTAGTTAAAGTAAGGCAGTGTGAGAGGACTCACACTGTGAATCCCAGCCTACTGACATGTTTGGTGTTTGTGTAATCTCAGCAGTCATAATAATGATGGCTTCAAGTAGTCTACAGTATGTTTCCCTCTAGTATGCCATTTTTAATATGCAGGATGGATAGTAACAGTACCTACCTCAAGTGATAGTCTCTTCTAATATGTAAAATGTTCATTGTTTGTAACATGTCTACAGATAGGAAAGAATTGCCCACAGAGAAATCAAGAATTTGGCTGGAAAAGGTAAAGAAGAGCAAGAAGAAGCTTTTTCGGAGATGCTACAAGAATGTTTACCTTCCAGTTGTTTTCCGTTTCCTTCATAAATTCTAACCCTTTGTTGACCTCTGCTTTCATTTCATTTACGTGAGCTATAGTATGTACAGACCATGCATCTGTTCGATTTATCGCCAAAGCCTATGAGTGAAAAAAGGGAAAACTTGCAAATAACAATATTTATCACATGTTCGATTTATCGCCAAAGCCTATGAGTGAGAAAAGGGAAAACATGATGAAGCTTGCAAACTTGCAAATAACAATATTTATCACGGCTGATATAGAAACAAGAGCCTACTTTTTACTTGCTGCATGTTAAGTACATCCCTGTACCGTTCCAACTAACCACAGCCAGGAACTGATTTGGACAGAAAAGGAAGAAAAATATTTATTGGCTGACTTCGCTTCCCAGCTTCTACTGCACAGAGATGCACACCTGCAAAATACTTTAAAATGCAGGCTTTAATGAAGATTATGATATGATGTTTATTTCACAGACATGCATCAGTATCAGCCATGAAAGAACTGCATGCATGGGCGTGATATATTCCAGGACACAGGGCCTCGCAGGTAACCATTTCTTCTACAAGAACACGGCCAGCTCTGACTATTCAGCAAATTCCTCTTCCTTGCTCCAACACCTCCCACCAGGTTTTAGGCATTTTGCAAAGTTAGCCCTTAACTTCATAAACATTCAATGTTAACATTCAATCTTTGCTGTCACTTCCAGCAATTTGATGTAACAGAAGTTTGGCAAAAACACCCATTAGAAATTAATTGTGTCTGAGACTCCTGGAGGACAGGGATAATCCTGAGGACTGGAGAAAGTCAAGTATAATTACTATCTTCATAAAGAGGAAACAGGCCAGTTAAAATTGATCCCCAGGATCATTACAGAGTTAATTGTTCAATAATCAAGAAACAAGCATCTGGGAAAAAAGGGAGAGGGAATGCAAACAGGATGGATTGTCAAGAGCATATTACATTAAACCAATCCAACATTCCTTAATAGGAGTAAGCAGCCAATTATACACGGGGAAAAAGCAGATGGGATAATATATGGATTTTATACAGGTGTTCTGACACCATCTGACAAGACATGCTCATAAACCAGTGAAGGAAATACAGTCAAGATGAAACCGCCAACGTATGGCATAGATGTAGGAATCTTCCTAAGGAATAATTAATGGTATTCTCTTATGAAACTCTGTGAGCATTTCCAGGATCGAGTCAGTTTGTGGCATCTGCATGAACCACCACCCAGAGACAGAGACGAGGTTTAAGAATTCTAAAACCTTTTAGCACTAATAACAGTCAGTTTACCTCACGGGCAAGCTCCTCAGCACGATCGAAAAAGTTTGTCTCCATGAGTCCAAAAGAGTAGTAGCCCTTCACATAGCTAAGCAAAAAGGGCAAAAAAAGTACATCATCTATTTAGAACTAGATTTAAGCTAGGACTGAAAAACCTATTAGAAACAGCTTTTAACTCAAAATAGTCCTTACAATTCAAGTTACAATGATAGTTCAAGCTTACAGAATTCAGCACAACTAGCTAGTTCTTACAGGAAACGAGAGGCCCAGAGACACCAGCATGGCAAACAGCAACAAGATGCACATCACCAGTGTTTTGAGAACAGAGATTGACATCTTTGTTCTGTGCAGCTTTTAGTTCCACCTTACATGATCTGCTGATCTCCATAACCTTTCCAAGATGCAGAATTAGAAAGGTAGGAGACAGTGCTGTCACCACAGTGATCTCAACGTCTCAAAAGTAACACCTAAGGGTAGCCTTTTGCACTTGCTCCAGTGCCCACAAAACTAGAGTCAAGCAGCTTCATGTGAAGTGACCCTTTAAAATTGATTGTAAAGCATCCCCATTAAGCCATAAATGCCCAATGTAAAGGAAAATTAGGGATGTTACATGCTCTTACACACATACCCGATGCAGTCATTTTAAGAAATATTTAACAAGTGATAGGACAAGAGGAAATGGCCTCAAGTTGCACCAGGGGATGTTTGGATTGAATACAACAAAAAAATTCTTCCCCAAAAGGGCTGTCAAGCATTGGAACAGGCTGCCCAGGGAAGTGGTTGAGTCACCATCCCTGGAGGTATTTAAAAGACACATAGATGTGGCACTGAGGAACATGGTTTAGTGATGGACTTGGCAGCATTAGGTTAATGGTTGGATTCAATGATCTTAAGGGTCATTTCCAATCTAAATGATTATTTGATTAACTGCTATTCTGTTTGCAGATTCATAGACTGCAAAATACCACAGGATATGTTTCTGCTTCTCAAAGTATGTGTTGGGGTTTTGAACTCCTGAGGCAAAGGAACTACTAAAATGTGTGTGGCATGTTGCAACTGATTTATTTCATGAGACGAATAAAAGTTGATTTTATTTTTTTTTTTCCAACATATGAATTCTCATGTAACTCTACATCCCTGTAAGCTTGAGGACAAGGAGCAGTTGCCAGGTTTTTATACTTCAAGAAATGCTTGGCATATGGGCTTTTCCTGTTGCTTTACAATTAAGAGGACAACAACTGGCACTTTTGTAGCATTGTGTCCAGAAAAGTTTCTAAAAATGCAGTCAAAACTGCCAAGTCATCTTACTTCCCCAACAAATGAAACCAGCGTATGGTAGTAAAAGGAACTAAGGGGTTTAGATTTTTCTGAGTTGAGGTAACACAGCTGGAAAAAATGAGACTCCTCACACTCCCCTCTGTGCCATGAGATTGTGGGGTACCTCAGTCAGCTTCATTATTAGGTTAGCCTTCAGTCCGTATTGTCTGCACTGTTTGTGGCACAAAAAGAGGAGAAAAGATTGTGTTGGATAAGGAGGTGCAGTGCACGGGTCTACAGCAACATTCAGAAAGTTATGGTTGCCTGTGGGTTGTCTATTCATCTGTCTCTAAGTACATGTCTTAATTTACAACTTAATGTTGGTTTTTTTATATAAACGTAAAATCTTTCAAATAGTTGAACAGGTCTTAACAAAATTTTAAAAATTATCCCACGTTAGTTTTTATTAACTATTCACAATGGATTCAGATTATCCTGAATTAACATTGGGAAACCCAAACTTTCAGAACTGAACTAAAAAATAATTAAAAAAAAAAATCTGCCTTTCTGTCAGTCTTTGCTGCACCAGCTGTTACGGTATATGCCAAAGATTTATTTCAGAACTACATTTCCAAGTTACAGCTCCTTTCTTCCTTCCACTGATGTGCTCTATCACCCACAATGTGAGTCTGAAGGAGTTTTGTCACTGCCCTCAGCGAGGACATGATTTTATCCTGTTACACGCCACATGCCATATTTCACAGCAAAATTTACTAATTAAGCCACAGCTCATTTAAGAAGAAACACTCAACAACAGCGTCAACAGGGATACAGGAGAGATGTGGTCAGGTTTGATCCACATCTAAGCCCTCAACTTTGTCTACGTGTTTGTTTCCAACAGATCCTGCTATTTAGATGTATCTGAACTCAAAAAACACAAAGTATGCAGACACCAGACACGAAGTAATTTTCAAAAAGAAGCATGACCCACCTGCTTAGTGGAATATCAGGTGTCCAGAAAGGATAAACCCGGGCAACAGAATCTCGCATCTGTGTCTGATATCCTAGGTAGAAGTAAGTGTCGTGGGAGAATTTGAGGGCTAGCAGGTCAGTTGGGTGGCTCTGCAGAATCTGTTCCCATAGATCACAAGCTTTTGGAAGCTGGCTAGAAATAAAAAAATAATTTCATTGCTGAGAGATGGCACACATACCTGCCTCTACCGTTAGTTCTAAACTCATGCTGTTCTGAAAAATAGAAAATTCAACATCAAATTCCTTTGGTTTTTTTTTCCTTGAAGGAATTCCTTAGTCTTTTCGAAAGTAATAATAATATCTTCACTGAGCACCTTCTGGGAAACCTTTTGACAGAAATGTCCTTGGATTAGAACAAGTCACTGTTAACACACAAGGAAAATGAAATGAGCTTAAAGCATAAATCTAAAGATTTTCCTACAGGGTTGAACAGTTTTTACGGAGACCTACCATAATTAATACAACTTCACACGTGCAAAGACACCTTCCCTCTCCTCTGAGAATCAAACCCATAGTAATAGGGCTTCAGTAACTTCCTCTTTACCTTTGCTAAGAAGTACATGAGGCAAATCCATGCTCACCTGTTTGTTTGACAAACAAATGACAAAACTGAATCATTAGCCCATCCTGCAGAAGCAGTGCACGTTCATCATGGCAACAGTGGGCCTCTACACCACTTCTGACTCTCTGCTATCTCCCTGTTTTACAGAGGAAATAGGTTTTGACACAGGGAGAAAACAGAAGAAGAGTCTGTTTGTAGCTTTGCTTCTGTGGATCCAAGTCTGTGTTATATTATATTGGACCTTACTGTAGTTACATATTTAGTTTCCTAGTTCTAAAGCATATATTCCACTGAAGGATCTGTGACAGCTTTAAAACAGAGAGTGCTTAACGACGTGAAACAGTGGCAATAGAGCCTCTCCCCTGCTGTGGTGCCACTCACTAATTAGCCATGGTGCCTACAGTCTGGAGAGATAAATTCAAGAACAACCACTGACATCTCACCCTGATCCTTTGCTGGATGTCCGTTAGTGTCCAGGCAATGCTAATACCAACTATCTCTTCCACCTCTGGCAGCTAAACTCTTCACAGTCCTTTAAATGGGATGACAGTGAACTTACCCACTGGCAAACATGTCCAGTGCTGATACATGAAGCTTCTCCCGCTCAGTCAGTGGCTGTGATTTTGAAAGCATCATCATGGTTCTCATTGCACTGTCCAGCTCTTTGTTGAGCCGCACGGAGCTTCCAGTGCCGATCAGCTCCAAACCATTAGCAATGACATGTCCCATCGCTACAGAAAACAGCACATCACAACTTAAGCTGTACAGCATTGCAGGTAATTCATCTCTACATAAAGATGAGAGGGGAGTTGCTTGTTTGTTTGGAATAAGACTTGAACTCACAGGGGTCAGGAAGTCTCATGAGCCTACAGTTTTTACAGGTTTTTCACGATAACCATTTAAAAAGACTTGAAATGAAAAGAAAAAAAAAAAAACACACAAAACCATCCCAACCTTCTCTAGACTCTGAAGAAGTTTTACAGAATTCTATAATCCAACACTTCCCACTTGCCTAAACAAAGTAAGTTAAACACCAAGACAGAAGGTATTATCCAGCACTTTCCATGTTAAGAATTAAATAATGTACTTACTAAAATTTGGATCTGCTGCTTTTAACTTTGAGAGACACCCCTCAATACCTCCAAGGCTCTCATCATTGGCCCAGGTTGCATACTGTGAGAGAGACAGAGAGAGGGTTGAGGAATGCCTGGTAATATTGGGCTTTTTTCTGATGTGTAAAATTTTTTTTACATGTGTAAAATCCAAAAGCAAGCAAGACAAATGTCTAAAAGACAAACTTTGGATTTGGATAGGGTCAGCATAGTAGGAAAACAGAAAAACTGTTTTCTTTAAGGTAGTTTGGCCACTGGCAGAACTAATAACCATGGATTTCTATGTGATTTATGTCCACTGGTTGATTCTCCCATGTCAAGCAGGATTAGCACACTGGCTGAAGTTTTCCCCACAGCTGAAGCACAGGGCATAGCCCTCTGCTACAAGGGTTTTCTGCAGCCTGCTAACGGCTGAGCTCTTGTAGCAGCCTGACTGGGAGGCTCTCCCAGTTGGTAGTTGGTAGTCTGTGTCCAGTTCTGGGCTCCCCAGTTCAAGAAGAACAGGGAACTGCTGGAGAGGGTATAGCAGAAGACTACAAAGATGATGAGGGGCCTGGAGCATCTGTCTTATGAGGAAAGGTTGAGGGACTTGGGTCTTTTTAGTCTGGAAAAGAGAAGACTAAGGGGGGATTCTGATCAACACCTACAAATACTTAAAGGGCAGGTGTCAAGAGGATGGGGCCGGTCTTTTTTCAGTGGTTCCTAGTGACAGTATAAGAGGAAATGGGCACAAACTTGGACATAAGAAGTTCCATCTAAACATGAGGAGGAACTTCTTTCCTGTGAGGGTGGCAGAGCCCTGGAAGAGGCTGCCCAGGGAGGTGGTGGAGTCTCCTTCTCTGGAGACATTCAAACCCCACCTGGCCACGTTCTTGTGCAACCTGCTCTGGCAGAGATGTTGGACTAGGTGATCTCCAGAGGCCCCTTCCAACCCCGTATCATTCTGTGAAATGTAGACATCAACTACAGCAAAGACTGTTTCATGCACAAACCCCTTGAAAGCACATTTTCTTACGCTTTTTGGTCATACCTGGGTCAGCGTAGCATCAAATAGTTTACAAGCTTCATTGCTAGTAGTGGACAGGACAAGTCCAGCATCCTGCCAGGCCTGCACAACAAACAAATAAAAACCTTTTCATTTTACATGCTCATTTTCCAGACTACGCCAACAGATTTTCAAATTGATGGTCTTTTGATATTTTCGTCAACTAAGGTGTTTTTTTTAAAAAAAAGAGAAAAACCGGAAGGACAATGTAAGCAGATACACAAACAGTTGTAGTTACCTCGGAAGACTCAGTAAGTTGGGGTTAACAGTGGGAATAAAGAAGCAACAAATTATAAAAAAGTATATAAAAATTATAATGAAGTGTTATCTTCTATTGAAGATCTGATGGGTTATGCATCTCATAATGAGAGACTAATTCTTAATTCATTACAACTCAACTTTTGGCTAGTCCCCTGATGCCGACACATCTCGTGTGAAGTAGATGCACGTTAGAATAAACTCCTGGTTTTTTATACCTGAAATCAATACCTTAAGTAACTTGTAGGCCAAACAGCCTGACAGAGCAAATCCACCGAGTCACTGGAGTTCAGCCAACAAAGAACTTGGACCACAGGCTTGTACATGAGCCTTACAAAAAGGAAGAACATGAGCGTTTGATAAAGCTAAAATACAGAACAGAATCAGTCTGCCATAGTTTCTTAGCAAGCTGTGTAACACTGACTGAGGTGCTCCATCTCCTGGCTAGCTGCTGGAGAATGAAGAGTTTATTAGGCAGATGTGCAGTTTACTCAATGGTGGAATTAAGCAGCAGCTATAGCACCCTGGTTCACAGCTGTCCCCATTACCGCTCGCTTAAGTGACTCAGGCAACAAATTGGAAAACCCAATGCCTGTTTCAAAATGCCTACGATGTGGGTGCCTACAGCAAACAGGCATGTAATCTCTGGTTGCTTGCAGGCTTCTTCTCCCACACAGTATGGCCAAGCAACCACAAAGGCTGTCACCTCACAAGCTGAGGTGCTTCACTTGGCAACCTATTCATATATTTTAATAACATCTGTGTTTATTTCTATTAAACCCTCTCCATTCAGCATTCCTTTACTGTACCCGTCACTGCCTCAATAACCATAGGCTTCTCAAGCACAGACTCACATTCAGCACACCATACATATTCTTGCTTAAATATACCCATATTTGAGGAGCTGCCCCAAACACTTCAGCATTACTTTTACTCCAGTACACAGAACTCACAGGATAGACATAAAATAAGATCTAGGGCAGCCAATTCAGGCTCCTCCTAACGGTGGATTAGTCCTTGCAGATGCTGCAAGAATTCACTTCATCTCATTTTACACTTTAGGTATTTCCTGGTTCAAATGACCCGACTGTCAAAAACGTTAAGTAACCAGGCAAAGACATCTTTGCTAATACTATCCCAAAGCTTTGCCACTGTGATTGGATTAAAGGCTCACATTCCAGCAGCTCAAGCGCTTGTGTGTTCAATTACAAGCCTGAAAGACTAGACTGGAATGTAAAATTACAAATTTTCTTTACAATCCACATTGCTATATCCAGAAACAGTGTAAAAAGAAAAGTCAAGAGGGTAGCAATGTCAGGCCTGCTACCTACAGGCTACCTTTCAAGGTGGCCTGCAAAACAGGCCACCAACCACTTTCATCTTTAGTTGTCTAAAACAACTCCATTTGGAGCATCTCTCTATGTCACTGTTTTGCACGACAGCTCGAGGTATTTGCCAGGTAGAAAGTGCCATCCCATTTGCAGGAGATTCGTTAATACCAAGATTCATTGGAATGAAAATGTCTGCACACAAGCATGAGAAAAACAAGCAGAACTAGGGTTAGTGAAAAGAAGGCCTGCACCCATCATGAAGGACACTGCTGATCTAGTGGAGGCACATGCTGTTCCCACCAACTCTAGAAAGCCTCTGCTCTGCCAAGGCTACAGCCCAAGGTAACTCACCCCTTACTGGAAGGCTCCCACTCTGGCAACAGGAGGACGGCAGCAAGGCTGCCCCAGGTCATGTATGCCACCACTACTCCTGTTAGCATGCCGGTAAAAGAGACTGCAGGGAAGAACCACCCTATAACAGCTGCTGACTCCTCAAAGATCTGCCCTAAAACTCATCTGTTGTTGCCAACCAAGAACCAAAGAGCTACAGGGAGTACAGGTGAGCCAGCACCTCTTGTCCTCTGGGTCATACGCAAGTGGTCCTTCCCAGCCAACCTGGGACACTCACGTCTTGGGGCTTGTCTGTGCTCAGGTATCAGACTGTGACTGAAGAAATCCACCAGAGAGGGGTGCAAGCAGGTAAAAATCAGCCTGGAGAGTTTGTAAAACAGTTATCACCTCCCAGTTCCATTCAGGCTGCCTCTGAGTTCTGTTACACTAACTTCCCACCACCGTCCTCTCTAACTCCTGAAGAGACTCTTCTCTGCAATGCTTCTTGGAGCGCCACAGCCTTGGCTCTTCTTGCTGCTTCTTGGCAAGAGCAAAGCCTTGCCCTTTTCTCCTGCTTTAATATGAGAGTTTAGTCACAGGATCTGGCAACTCTTTATTTGTATGTTGCTGCTAGAATCCCAGCTGGCTTTGAGGAATCTCTGCTCTTTGCAGTTTACTGTTAGCACATCCTCTATTACTCCACTGACAGCTCTCCAGAGCTCAGGAATCTACCACACTCTCAGAAGATCTTCAAGACTTCTTTTGCTCCCTCCTCCTGCCTCATTAACCAGAAAAACAGGAGGAGAGTGAACTTCAGGAAGAAAGCACACAGAAGACTAATCAGTAACCAGCTCCTGCAGACAGATTTTGAACCCTTGGACTCGAAGCTGGTTTAGAGTTAAAAGAAGGAGGCCCACAGTAAGGGCAGGTGAGCGCCATGGGCCTGGCCTGCACGATGAAGGAGCCCCGGAGATGTTCAGAGACGAGTCTGCCTCCCCTGCGGGAGGGAAGGCAGCAGCGGCTCGTCCCCCTTGGCAGATCATAGAATCATAGAATTGCCCAGGCTGGAAGGGACCTCCAAAGGCCATCTAGTCCGACCTCCCCACAGTCAGCAGGGACACCCCCAACTAGACCAGGTTGCCCAGGGCCTCGTCGAGCCTCTCCTTGAATATCTCCAGGGATGGGGCCTCAACCACCTCCCTGGGCAACCTGTTCCAGTGCTCCACCACCCTCACAGTGAAGAACCCTCTCCTAATCTCCAGTCTAAATCTGCTCCCCTCCAGCTTGAAGCCATTTCCCCTCGTCCTGTCACTACAGGCCTTTCTAAACAGGCTCTCCCCAGCCTTCCTGTAGGCTCCCTTCAGGTACTGGAAGGCTGCTATTAGATCTCCCTGGAGCCTCCTCTTCTTCAGGCTGAACAACCCCAGCTCCCTCAGCCTGTCCTCGTAGCAGAGGTGCTCCATCCCCCTGATCATCCTTGTGGCCCTCCTCTGGACCCTCTCCATCAGGTCCATGTCCTTCTTATATTGAGGGCACCAGACCTGCAGACAATACTCCAGGTGAGGTCTCACCAGAGCAGAGTAAAGTGGCAGAATCACCTCTCTGGACCTGCTGATCCCCCACCTCAAACCCACCCCGAGTGTCGGGGTCACTGGGGGGACCAGCTCCCACTCCGGCCTCACCGCACCGGGGCGGCTTCTCCGCACCCCCCCGGGCTGGGCACAGCTCCCCTCCGCTCCCGCCTCAGACCCAGCAGCCCTTCTCCCAGCCGGGCTCCCGGAGCCTCCCCGAGGCCCACACGGCCGGACACCGCCTCCGGGAGCCCGGCAGGAGGAAGGGCAACGGGCAGAGCGGCCGCAGATCCCCCGCGCTGGGTCGCTGCGGCGGGGCCGGGGAGGGCAGGCAGGCAGGCGGGTCGCCTCGCCTCGCCGCCCCGCTCCGCCTCAGACCTTGCCCTCACCTTACAGTCCCTCAGCGGCGCCATCATCCCCCGCCGTCCGCACCTCCCGAGGCGGCGGGAGGAGGAGCCGGGGCCGGGCCAGCAGCGGGCGGAGCCGTGCGCCGGCCTGGCCCGTTGGCAGCGGCTTCCACCTCACACGCCGTAGCTCAGAGCGGGGCCGCGGTGCTGGGCACGGATGTGGTTCCTGAAGGTTATTGGCCCCCAAACGCTCGTTTATGGTGGGTACATCCACACGCCATCCGCTGTTGCTGAAGGTGTTCACCAGCCGTGCCCGGGGAGGAAGGTGGGAAGCGGCCACTGGCCTCCTTGAGCCCTTATCCAGCAGTTGGGACTCCCCAACTGTCAACCTCCATCAGGCTGCACTCTGCTCCCATGGCTGGGCTGCCTCCTCTCCTCCGCCTCACGCCGCAATGAGAGCGCTCCATCTTCTCCTCCTCCAGCTGCTCAGCTGCTGCCCCCGAGGCTGGGTGGTCTCCACCCCAGGCCTCCGGCCACCACCCCTGCTGGTCACCTGCTGGGGCCCTCATGGACAAGTCTCTCAACGGCAGGACAACGAGAGCTGGGTCTCATGCCTGTGGAACAGCACCATGACCCTGCGTTACCAGCCAGCCCCAGGAGCGAGCCCGGAGGCGGAGAGGAAAGAGGGGCGGCCAGCCCTCCCACCACACTGCTTCTGGTACCTGAACTCGGCCCGGGTGAAGAAGACAAGACGCTGGTCAGGCCAGGTGATGCTGCAGACAGGCCTCCTCCTGGGACACGCTCCTCCACCCCTGGCCTCCAGCCTCCTTACAGTGCAATGCTCATCTGCTTCATGTGCTGCACCCGAGTGCCTCCACCAGAACCTGAGCGTCGAGATGTCTGGGCAGGATATGCGGCTCTTCGTGCTTTGGCCGCAGACGCACCTGATCCGCGTGTGGCAGCCAGTACATCTGGGCTGGTGTGCGCGCTTCAAGAGTGCCAGCTGGCAGTACCGCTTCAGCAGCCAGGGAGGCAGCCCCTCTACCCTCCTCCTTCCCAGCAGCCAGCACCAAGACACGCCACCGCCTGCTGTCTACCCAACGGTTGAGTTGCAACAAACCTGTGCCGCCTACTACAGCTACAGCTTGACCGTGCGGTACAGCCATCACGGGCTCCACGTTGCTTCAGTCAGCATTGAGCAGATGCCTCAGATAAGCCTCAGCCTCTCTCTCAAGGTAGAGCCGGACGTGCTGCACATCCTCAGCATCAGCTCCAAGCTCCTTAATGTTCCTCAACAGCCCCTCAGCCTCTCCTGGAGGCTTCAGCCCCTTATGCCAAGGACACTGGCCTACAAACTGGTAGACACGCAGGCTATGGGAGGCTGGCTCTGTTCCTACAGTTCCATTACTCTGCAGAGCAACTTCTGTACTGTTCCCACACCTCAGAGCCCAGGTGAGGTGGTGGTGGCCAGCATTTATTTTCATGTTGATGGAAAGAGGTTTGAGGAACTGACAGGAGAACTACATCTACTCAATGGTACCCTGAGCCTAACAGCAGGCGGAGAAACTCCCACATATGTCAACCTTCACCCGGGAAAGACTGACAGGAGCACTTACATTTTCAGGTACAAACATGGAACGTTTTACACAACCAAAGAAAACAACAGCCCTATTTCCACAGATAGCCCTAACACGCGCACTGTATTCTACCAACACAAGGAACTCTCCTACATACTCTCCATAGAGTTTGTGGCCTACCAGTGGTACAAGTTCAATATGTACCTTTATATGAATCAGGAGAGGGCTTTGTTTAGGTCTCTGGCAGAAAGAGACCTTGAAGTCCATGTTTTCAGCAGTGGCTGTCCTTTTCTGCAGAGCTTTACTTATGGAGTGTGGTTTATCCCTGCACAACATCCAATGCTACAATGTGAGTGGACCTTCCATCTGCAGCTTTTTGCAACACAAAAGGATCACCTTCTTCAGAACAGCATGTACACGTACAACAACCATGTAAGAAACGCCACACGTGTTGTCCGTCGCTCTGCTTTACCCTTCGATCCAGAGAAATACACGGGGATTGTGGCAAAGGTGAACTGTACCAGAAGGGCGCTTAGAGCGGCTCTTTTAGGAGTCAGAGTCAAAAACTATGCTGTAAAAACCATAGAAGTACCAGTGTCAAGCCAGAAAGCACCCTGTTTCCTACGCCAAGTGCTCATTCAGAGACCTGTTCTTCATTCCGGTATCCTGCGCCAGAAAAGGGCGTTACCTTTTTTCCTCTACGTCAGATTGCTATCAGTCTGCAACGTTGGTGTATTTACCAAGCCCTTGTGGCGAATCTATCATGTTCAGGACACAACAACTCCTCCAGACTGGGATAGACCAATGGACTCTTCTTCATTACATGGTGTAGATTCAATACTCTTAACTGTTCCTGGTTTTACTTTTGAGTACGGGTTGTATCTGTTTAATTTCACTGTTGAAGTAATACCAGTTGGTACCAAAATTGTCCTCAGGGGCACAGATAGTATTTATATTTCAATTGAGCCTGCTGATCTAGTGGCACATATTGCAGGAGGCTCGTTCCGTAGAGTGGGTTTTTCTGATAATTGGAGTCTTGATGGCTCTGCATCCTATGATCCCGATTCACAGGACGGACTAACAGGAATCACATTTACTTGGTATTGCACTAAAGCGTTGTCAGATTATAAAAAAATGACACTCAGCCCAGGAAAGAAATGCCATCCAGCCCAGAGGGATCTGAAATGGTTAACACCCTCAGGTCCAGTTCAAGTAATGCCACCGGAACCCCTCCGAGGAAACGCTGTGTACTACTTCCGTCTGGTGATTCAAAAGGATAAAAGGAGGAGTAGTGCTGACCAAACTATACAAGTGCAGCCTGGCTCCCCACCCCTTCTGGATGTGGTATGCCTTGAAAACTGTGGTAACACTCTAATTCCAACAGAGAGATTTACCTTGTCTGGAAAATGCCTAAACTGTAGATTAAGCAGCCGGACAGCCTACTACTGGTCCCTTTTTTCAGGAAACGCTACAGAAATTAGCTTTGACTGGTCTTCCAAAACCTCAACAGGGAGATCTGGGCCTTACCTGTCTATACATGCTCTGACTTTTACAAAGACTGCACGTCGATCCTACATACTTATGTTAAAAGTGACTACCTGGGATGGTAGGTCCTCAATCTACAGACATGCATTTAAGGTAAATTCTGTTCCTAAGGCTGGCAGATGTAGCATCAGCCCACACTGGGGTACAGCCTTTCTGACAAAATTTGTTGTTCAATGCAGTGGATTTTCTGACAGCAATTTACCTCTGACATATAAAGTGATAGTAGCTTCCACAATACCCCAAACTACCAAAATAACTTCTGTGATGAAAAATACATTTGGCCCAGTTCTGTACTTTGGTTATCAGCCTAAAACTCCTCCATCTTTTCTCCCAGTTGGAGTGCCCTCCCAGAAGTACGCCTTGACACTTTACGTTCAAGTACACAATTCCCTTGGGGTGTTTACCCAAGTGACTTTAAATGTCCATGTAAAGGACCCAATGACCAGACAACCACTAGCTCTTGTGTTTCACCAACTGCTGGAATCAGTGACCGGTTCAAGTGCACCAATGACATCTTATCTCCAGACTGGGGATTATTTTAGCGCAGGTTATTTGGCTTATCTGACAGCCTCAGTCTTAAACTATATTAAAGCTAAACCAACTCTCCAGTTCCCTAAGGTTTCCTTACGGGAAAGGCTGATTAATACAGCCCTGAATATTTCAGTTGACAATGCAGTGGAAATCAACCAAGTAGTTGCTTCTCTTTCTCAAGCCACAGAGGAAGCAGATGAAATGAGCATTAAATCACAACAACTTGCCATTAAGAAACTGAGAGAAGTAATAAGAATGCTGAAGATACAGAGGAATGAGACCCATTGGTCTGAGGAAGTAGAAATTCAGACCACTGGAATACTAAAATGCTTGTTCAACATCCTGAGAGCTGCTCTTCTGCCTCGCAGGAATGTCAATGTAAGTGGAGTTAAACAAGTCTTCTCCATCATGGACTATATAACGGAGATAGTTTTCCAGGGCAAAGTCCCTGGAGAAATAGAAACTCTAATGGAAACAAAGCTTTGGAATATCACTCTGAGGAAAGATGAAACCTGGAACATTTCAAATGCTTTCTCTTCCAGAAATACCTGCAGGAATTGCTTTTATCCGTCGCTAGAAAAGGGGATGTATTCAGAATCGCGCCAGGATGCTGTGATTTCCACTGCCCTTTTTGAGTTTGATGAGAACCCCTTCCCTTGGTTAGGTTACACACCAGAAATCACAGCGGTCTTGGGTTTCAAAATGGCAGAGACGAGGGCTAATGGGGATCTAGTAGGGATCATGCCTGAAGGAGTACAAATTACTATTGCTAGGAAAGAAAAGGATATTACAGCTTTTTGGTTAGCAATAGGACCTGATAAAACAGAATCTTACACAACTGGAGGATTTAGTCTTGAAGTCAACAGAAATGCCAAGAGCATATACATCCAGATCCTGACAAAATTAAAAGTTACGTTCAAGGTGCTAGTATTTTCAGGTACCACTGTAACTGATGCTCATCCCATAGCTTCATTTGCTGCCTTTCACAACAAGCCAACAGTTGCAATCAAAAATGAGGCAGCTAGTGCTGACTGTAACATTAAGAGTCCCTATATTATTTGTCTCCCAGAGTCATTGCTGACAGCCACAGCTCAAGAAAACTATACAGACACTCGTAACGTCTCCATTGTCTTGCTGGCACCCTACTTTGTCAGGTATCAAACCCGGAGACTGGTGAATATACACATTTTTAGCGATCGGTGCTTATTCATGGATGGGGTTCAAAGTCCATGGAGAGAAGACATGTGCAGGCTTGGCTCCCTGACTGACTGGCAGAAGGTACACTGTGTCTGCAAGCTGAAGCGGAGACACACAAGGCTGTCGGCTCAGGCTCTATCAAATTCATCCATGTTCAACATCAGGTTCCTGGCAGCCAAAGTAATAATTACCCCCAACACAGTAGACCTGGGACAAACCCTGATAGCAGAAATACCTAAAAACCCAGTGACCCTCTTAACAGTGCTATTTATTTTTGGTGTCTACGTTCTTTTAGCCCTCTGGGCCATTAGAAAAGACAGGGCTGACAAGGGCAGCAAAGACAAGATTATAGTTCTGCCAGACAACGACCCCTTTGATAAAGTGAGCTATTTGGTCACTTTATACACGGGCGGTCGCTGGGGAGCTGGAACTAAAGCAGATGTCTTTCTTCAGCTCATCGGAGAGAATGGCAAAAGTGATGTCCATTGTTTACGGCACCCGGATTTTGTGTCTTTCCAACCAAGAAGCACCGATTGCTTTCTCTTAACTACCAAGAAAGACTTGGGAGACATTTGTTCCTTCAGGGTCTGGCACAATAACAAGGGCTCATTTCCAAGCTGGTTCTTAAGCAGAGCCAAAGTTGAGAATATGTCCACCAGGAAGACCTGGTTCTTTATGTGCAGGAAATGGCTTTCTCTTGACAAGGGTGATCACTTACTAGACAGGACATTTTCCGTCACAAACCCCAAGACACCTCTGTCCAGAACTGACTATTTTTTGATTAAACTTTCCAACAGCCTGGCAGAGGGCCATCTGTGGCTTTCGGTTTTTTCTCACTTTCTCACTGGCTCTTTCACCAGGCTCCAAAGGTTGTCTTCATGTTTAGCAATATTATTATTAAACTTGCTTGTTAACATTATGTTCTTTAACACTGACAAGAATGAAGAATCTCCAATACACTTGAGGTATCTGAGATCAGTAACAGTAGGAATCGAATGTGCTTTGCTTACCATACCTGTGGAAATGATTATAATTGCCTTATTCAAGTATTCCCAGAAGGAATCTTCTCCTCGGGGTGTGGCTCAGACAGACCCAAAGGTAAGTCCACCCCTCCCATCTGAAAATTCTAAGAACTGGAAGGAACATTTTTCAAAAACTTCAGCACAATCGAGTAATGCTATTCCCTTGGAGAACCTTCCTGGTCCCAGCAACTCCCAGAGCCCGCCATGTTCCAGCACGACAAGAAGCAAGGGACTTTCCCAAAGCTGGAGCAATTGCACAGTTTCTGAAAGGGATGCAAATGTAATTGAAACAGAGGAGCACACGATAACTGCAAATTCCCCTCCAATGGCGAAGGCCTACCAGAGCAGGCCAACACCGAATACCAATTTTAGTAATGATTACGCAGGAGGGGGCAATTTTCAAAAAGAAAGGAGACCACCAAGCATTACCTCCACGGCCGTTCACAAGAGGCCACCCATAGTTCTTTGTCGGTGGTGCATCTATCTCTCATGGGCGCTAGTTATAGCTGTCACTGGGATATCATCATTTTTCATCGTGGTATATGGTTTGTCTTATGGTTATCAGACTTCACTGGAGTGGCTTATAGCATCTGCAACGTCCTTTATTGAGAACGTCTTTTTCCTTTCAATTCTAAAAATCAGTTTTTTCTCAGCTATGAGTACAATTCGTCCAAAATGCTGTGAAAACATTGCATGGTCAACTCGGAGAAAGTATTCTGAGATTCAGTTGACTAAAGAAACGATGAGTGCGGATAAAATGAGAGAGATGCACTTGAAACTTGCTGAAATCAGAAGTACCAAGCAGTATAAGCCTTTAGAAGCTGATGAAATTGCAAACATGCAGAAAAGGGCAAGAATTGAAGCCAAGGCATTTACTTTCACAAGAGGTTTCATCAGTCACCTTGTCTTTTTAATACTGCTATTAATTCTTGCCGGTTCCACTGAGAACACCAACATTTTCCACTACAACCGATTCATCCATAACCAATTCTCTCCCCAGCTCTCCAGTGTAGATAAGCTAGAAAATATCTACGTGTGGCTGAAAGACTTGTTCTTGCCTTTGATCCACAATGACATTCAGCCAACCTTTCTTCCTGAGAGCTGGTCCAAAATCATTGGTTTGCCTAGGATGAGGCAAGTGCGGGCTAAAAGCACTGAGAAAAAATGTTTCCGTCCTCACAGCTTTGTAAATAACTTAGTGATCAGTAAAAGCCACTGTCTTCACAAATATGGCACCGACATCCCAGAGAAAGGTGACTATGCTGGCACCTGGACACGGGTGACCAACCAGTCTGTTCCCAATGATGCCAGCAGTTACAGTGGGTTCACTTACCAGCGAAACAGGACTCCATGGACGTATTATTCATACGGAGATTTGCACACGTATGGACCAGCAGGATACACATTTTACTTTTTCCCTAATGAAGGAAAAACTAATTCTACGACAAGGCTGGATGCTCTACAACAGAGCAACTGGCTGGATGATAAGACATGGGCTGTGATCATTGAACTAACTACATTTAACTCAGATGCGAATCTCTTTTGCACCATCTCAGTCATATTTGAAATGTCTAATTTAGGGATCATAAGACCAAGTTTGTCAGTACACTCTTTTGCACTCCCCATTTTTTATGAGCAAACTAAAGCTCAAAAGTTGGTGTTTGGAATTGTTCTTGCTTTTCTGATAATTTACATTGCATATGAGATTCATACCATAGGCCAAGAAAGAAAAGATTATATTAAAAACATTTCCAATGTAATAAATTTGGGCTTAAAATCAGCACTCTTCCTTTTCGTTGCTTTAAAGTTCACAAAGTTTAAGATGGGAGAAGATACAGTGACGTTTTACTTAGATCACCCAAATGATTTCATTTCTTTTCATGCAGTTTCTCATATCGATCAGATTTTAAGGATTACTATGGGCTTTTTAGCATTTCTTGCAGTTTTGAAAACTCTAAAATATTCTCAATTCATTTATGACGTGCGCCTGGCACAAAGATCGATTTTGGCAGCCCTTCCCGGGATCTCTTCAATAGCCATCGTTGTCGTGGCCTATTTCTTTGTGTTTATGGCTTTTGGCTACTTTGTGTTTGGGCAGCATGAATGGAATTACAGTAGCATGATTCACGCAGCTCAGACCATATTCTCTTACTGCGTCTCAGCTTTCAGAGATACTGCATTTTCATCCAACAGGTTTCTGGGTGGTCTTTTCCTGGCCTCTTTCATGATGGTGATGATGTGCGTCCTGATCAATCTCTTCCAAGCTGTTATTATGTCTGCCTATGCAGATATGAAAACACCTGTGTATGAAGAACCATCTGACGAGGCACAAGCGGCTACTTTCATATTGCAAAGGCTCAGAAAGATATTTTATTTTCTGATCTGTAAAAAATCCAAAACCAGCGAGGCTGATCTTTTTCACAGTGTACTCTATGGGCATCCTCAGAGAAGACGTCAGCAACATTTAGGGCTCAAGAACAGAAAAATAAATGGAAAAAAGATGGTTTATCTTGTCATATAAGGAAGGAAAGATTTTATATCCAAGACCACCTTGACTCTGTAACACTTGCATTTCAAATAAATGCTCATAAATAAATTATTTACTTTCAAGAATTTTTTAACATTCAACCCCTTACTAGTGACTGTGCTCAAATTTTCTCCAGACCATTTTGCATCAATTTCAGCTGTTGTGGGGGGATGGAGGAGGTGTGGGCAGGGTTGACCCCAGCTGGCAGGTAAGCTCCCACCAGGCAGCTTGCTCACTTCCCTCCCAGAAGCATGGGGGGAGAGAATCCAAGGGCAAAAGCGAGAAAAAAAACTTGTGGGTTGAGATAAGGACGGTTCAAGAAGCAAAGGAGGAAAAAAGTGCCAAACCACAAGTGATGCAAAAGCAGTCACTCACCCCCAGCAGACGGATGCCCAGCCGGTCTCTGAGGAAAAGTTACTTTCAAAAAACTTCCCTTCTTCTATCTCATGACATTCCTAACTCTGTGTCAGCCAGAGGCAGCACACAGGGGAGCTGGTGGCCGTTTCACTGAGGTGACACACTGGCAGGTAGCTCGTGAGTCGAGCACATGCTAATACAAGAGCAAAATATGGCCCAAGATCTGAAAACACTGATAAATCCTCCCTACTCACAGCATAAGACTTAAAAAAATAAAATAAAAATAACAAGTTTGCAGGGTGCAACTTGGCAATTAAACTTTCACAACATGACACTGCATTCGCATGCAGGAGACAGAGTCCCTTTGGAAGACATTAACCACGGACTATAAAACCCCCTTCCACAGCCTCAGAGGGGGTAGTAAACTTCTGTATTATCAAACAAGGCCTGCAGACCGGTCGCTACATCACCTCCTGGAAGGGAAGACCGTCATAAAAGAATTGAGAATATCAACAACTGGGCAAGTCGACTGGAAGACGGGTCGACTTGGGCAACCCCCTTATTTCCTATTCATTAAGCTGGGGGCATCCTCCAGGCAGTTCACTTTGAATATCAAGAGAGCACAGAATTGTAATCATTATTAATTTCACATCTCGCACGCTCTTCACAGTGTGATGAGCTACCGGGGCCCGTTACACCTGACGGGCGTTGTCGCCCACCGGCCCCCTGCCCCTCGCTCCTGCCAGCGCTGGCCGCGGCCTGCCAGGACAGAATCACAGAATCTTCTGGGTTGGAAGGGACCTTAAAGATCATCTTGTCCAACCATCAACCTCACTGACAAAAATAGACACCCGCACAACAAACAAGGAGCATCACCCTCACTAAAGCATACATCCCGTCTACATCAACCTGTCTTTTGAACACCTCCAGGGATGGTGCCTCAACCACCTCCCTGGGCAGCCCATTCCAATGCCTGAGAATCCTTTCGGTGAAAAAATTTTTCCTAATATCCAGCCTGAACCTCCCCTGGCGTAACTTGGGGCCATTTCCTCTAGTCCTGTCGCCTGTGACTTGAGAGAAGAGACCGACCCCCACCTCTCTACACCCTCCTTTCAGGGAGTTGGAGAGAGCAATAAGGTCTCCCCTCAGCCTCCTCTTCTCCAGGCTGAATAACCCCAGCTCCCTCAGCCTCTCCTCACAAGACTTGTGCTCCAGACCCCTCACCATCTTTGTTGCCCTTCTCTGGACCCACTCCAGCACCTCAATGTCTTTTTTATGGTAGGGGGCGCCAGGCAGCTCCAGCCACTCTGCCCCCAGCCTGTAGCGCTGCCTGGGGTTGGTGTGACCCAAGGGCAGGACCCAGCACTTGGTCTTATTGAAACTCATCCCGTTGATCTCAGCCCATCCATCCAGCCTGTCCAGATCCCTCTGCAGAGCCTCTCTACCCTCCAGCAGGTCGACACTGCCACCCAGCTCGGTGTCATCTGCGAACTTACTGAGGGTGCACTCGATCCCCTCGTCCAGATCATTGATAAAGATGTTAAAGAGAATTGGCCCCAGTACTGAGCCGTTTCCTTTTACTGAGCCCAGGACCTGCCGTTTCCGAAGCCAAAACACCCACCCCTCCCCGCCCCGCTCCCCTCCCTGAACTCCGGGGGCTTCCGGGCTCTGCCCGTCCTTCCTCACCGCGGTACGGGCCCACTCCCCGGTCCCCTCACCGCGGTACGGGCCCACTCCCCGGCCGCAGCCCGAGCCCGCCCCGCAAAGGGCCCGAGGGAGGTGGCGGGCAGGCCCCCGCGCATGCGCACAGCGCCACCTGCCGGCGGCGCGGCGCGGCCCGGTCCCTTTAAGGGCTGAGTGGCGCCGGGCCCTTAGGCCGCGGCCTCCGGGTGAGCGAACGGGGACGCGGCCTGTGCGTCCGCCCGCTGTCGCCAGACCTGGGCGGTGGGTGCCGCAGAGTTCGGGCGGGCAGGAATCGAGCGGCCCTGGCTGAGCCGGGCTGCGGCCTCCCCCCTGGGAAACACGGCGAGCAGGGCGGGGGGCCGGGCCCGGGCCCGGCGCTTTGGGCAGGCAGGCCCCGGTGTGGAGCAGCGCGGGAGACCCGAGCTCCCCGGGAACAGCTCCCGCCGGTAGATAATATTGTTACTAATGAAGGGGCGCGGGAGTCAATTTATCTTTTAATCTCTCTTCAGCAGGCAACGTGTCTGGGATGTGAGAGGAGAGGGGTGTCTGCTCTCCTTGCCTGCCGGGATCCCTCCCTGGAAGACGGGTGTCAGGAGCCCTCCTGAGGGCAGGCCCCGGGCTGGCTCGGCGGGGGCAGAGCACAGGGCTTCTCTGCCACGGAAGACAGCGAGGAGAGGAAGCCTGGCTGCAGAGGTGGGAGAGCAGTGTCCAGCCCCCCCCCCCTTGCTTTGCTGGGAGCGGGAGAGGTTTCTGGTGTGTGCTTCCCACCGCCAGAGTGCCTGGCTCCCCAGGGTGTAAGTTAGACTGACGGGGGGGACACCTCCCCTTCCAACTGCAGAAGCAAATGTGAGAAGAGTCTAGGTAGTCCTCTGAGCAGAGGCCTGCTGACCAGCTGACTGCTTAACAGGAGGGACTCATGAGCAGGCAGTGGGCAGCTGCAGCCCAGAAGGCCAATCCCATCCTGGGCCGCATCAAAAGATGCGTTGCCAGCAGGTCCAGAGAGGGGATTCTGCCACTTTACTCTGCTCTGGTGAGACCTCACCTGGAGTATTGTGTGCAGGTCTGGAGCCCTCAATATAAGAAGGACATGGACCTGATGGAGAGGGTCCAGAGGAGGGCACAGCGGGGAGAGGAAGCCTGGCTGCAGAGGTGGGAGAGCAGTGTCCAGCCCCCCCCCCCTTGCTTTGCTGGGAGCGGGAGAGGTTTCTGGTGTGTGCTTCCCACCGCCAGAGTGCCTGGCTCCCCAGGGTGTAAGTTACACTGACGGGGGGGACACCTCCCCTTCCAACTGCAGAAGCAAATGTGAGAAGAGTCTAGGTAGTCCTCTGAGCAGAGGCCTGCTGACCAGCTGACTGCTTAACAGGAGGGACTCATGAGCAGGCAGTGAGCACTTGCAGCCCAGAAGGCCAGCCGC